TGGTACCAGAGTGATTTCCCTCTTGATGGAAGGTGACATGCGCATTCATGGCAAGGTGTTCGAATGGTGTAAGCATCTAAAAGGCGGTCGACTGTACACATTCCGCGGACAATCCTGGCCCGGAAAACACTCACCCCTGTGAATTAACATTGAGTAAGGTGGAACACCCAATCATGGTCGCCTAACCGAAGTTTGCCGTGATGATGGAATCTTTCTGTGGTCGTGGTAAACATAATTATTTATTAACAATTTTAGTCACAAAAATTGCCAAATTACGGGTATGGGGACAATATTAGTTTTTCAACCATCACATGGAAACCGGATGGTACTTCGTGCGTTTTGAGGATGAAGGCCAGGAGCTAACATTTGATGGTGGAAAGTTGCATCGGGGACTGCGTCGACTCCTAGCAATCATTCGATCGCCGAGACTAGTAGATGAGCAAGGCCCCATTCTAAAGTGGTCATCCAGCCTGGCCACGGTTTTAAAACAAATTTAAGCGGCCGAGACAAGCAGGACCATGAGTGGAAATCAGGATTCCCAATCCTGAGGGGAAATAGTGTGGACTGAAACCTATTCTTGGCGCTATTTTGATTCAGGTTGCTCTACCCTTTACAGGCAACAACCGCATCCACCAGAGGCAAATCGTAGGCAGATGGGTGCTGTCAAATCAAAAATCGCCAGCAACTCTGATGCTCACTAGACGTGTCTACTAGCCGAGTATAGGTGGAATAGGTTTCAACAAGCCCTCAATACTCGACTGGTCAACGAGTTTTTCGCAGGCGACAACCACCTAAACCCATTAAATGACTGATTTACTCCCGTTTACACCCCAGTCAAACTGAAACCAACGATAAAATCAAGGGAATGCGCACATATCAGTGGAAAATCTACAACTACTCACCATACGGATACTGGGATGTAGGATAAGTTTACAGGTAAACGGACGGGTACCCATATGATTCTAAGTTATTAACGAGGCAATGCAACGAAACATTCCGAATGGACATTGGTACATTGACTAAGACCCCACATTCTAAGGATAGAAGCATGTTCAGAGGGAAGGATCGCTTAAGCCGTTTTGGCAGTGGACTTCGTTGCAGCCAGCACCTTCAAATCCTCGATGCACTTTCGTAGAGTCTCCCTCTCCTGGTTTGGGGTTATGCCCGCCACCACCGCCGAAGTGATCCAATTTGCCATGTGTTGCTGCTGGAAACGACGACGCACATTCTCTCGTTCCACGTGGTAATCCTGGGATCAGAGGTCGAACAAGAATGAAAACTTAGGAGAAATAAACTAAACTCCTCAGTCACTAAAAGCCAACTAATCAAACTAACCAGACGACGTATGACGGCCTTATAGACATTTTGGAGACGTTCTCGATAAGCCGCCTCCAGTTGCAAATCGATATTCTCCTTCTTTGCAGCAACGAGAGTAGGGAGAAAAGCGGCGCGGGCAATCTCCTCATCTGCAGACTTAATAGTCCTATCCAAGTTAGCAATAGTGTTTCTCATCGGTTTGGTGTAAAAGTTATCAATTCTTTGCTGAAAAAAACAAGCTGTAAGCGATGGTGAATGTCCCCTACCTGAGTAAATTTGCCAATATAATCAGAGCACCGGGAGCCAAATGTCTTAATGGCCCAGGTCATAATGATGACGAATGGGATTATTTCAACGAAATGAGCGTCAACAACCCAGTACTCCTTGCTCAGAAGAAAGGCGGTAGTGCCGGTAAGGAAGAGATATGGGCCTGTGACTCCAGTACGAGAATATAGAAGCTGAAACCACGCATCGGGGATGAACCCAAGACGCACTTTTGGGTGCTGTTCGGCTATTTTTATTGTCGGATAATTCACCATATCACGCTCCTTGCCGTAGTAGATTTCATTGCATTTGTCCCACCGAACGATAGCATCAGAAACATACTGAAAAAGTGTAATTGGATGAAGAAAACAAAAACCTTGTGGTATCTATTAGCCAATTCTTCGGCATCCTTGATGGCCTTCTCGGTAATTGCAAAATTCTTGTCCTTTGGTGATTCAACCACCTTGGGATTCTCAGAAGCTGCAGTAGCGAACCGCGAGATCGTGGTATTCGGTATAGTGCATAGCCTACCCAGGTTTTTGGCTTCAAAAAAATTCGAAGTAATTAAAAATACTCAGCTTACATAGAACGAAATACCTCGAGCAATGCGACATAACCGCAATTTGAAACGCGCTACTGTGTTCTAACAAAGTAAAATATTAAGTCGTTTCAGTCATTTATGAGACTGTAGTGGCCGCTTAAAAGAAAGCATCCATTAATTGTGAAACTTACAGCGATTTATTTGAATGTTTTGGCTCCAACCCTTAAGCAATATATGTGAGAGATTTCAATCAAACTGTGAAAATTATCTGTTACTACTAGCAGGAGTAACAAATGGTCTCAATTACATAAAAAGGTCTGAGCAAAAGTTTGCTAGCATATTGTATGTGTAAGAAAATGAAAACTGTTTTGAATAACTGCCTGACTTGAACCCATAAATCGCGTGCTCAATTTGCGATTATCCCTCAGGACTGATCCTGCTAAAAAATAGAGCATCGGTAAACTATTCATAAAAACCGGAAAATCATAATCCTACAAGTTAATAAACTACGCTGTCTGTTCATTGAGCTGACAGACACAGTCACCGATTCATCTTAGGATTTTTCTGTATAAAAAATGTCTTATTTGTTTAGACTTTAATCTTGGTGGCTTGAAGTCTTCCCCACGTAAGATATCCATCTACTTCGCGGACATCTGTTTGTCATACCTTGGAAAAAATTGGGGAAATGGCTTTGTTTTCCCAACTTTTACTTATAGGAAGAGGTGAAACCGTAATGAGTCTGTGTCCTTTAGTTTGTGGTGCGCGAACGTTTAAAAATAAGGGGCAAGTGCACTTATCTTAACATTCTTTCGATTGTATATAAGGTGGTTTTCGGAGTTTATATAGGCCGCGCAAGTGGTCGGATTTTCAAATTTTTCTCCCACTATCGAGTAGTGTTGCCAATGGACTCGCCCCGTTCTTATGATCTGTACGATTGCTTTTCCTTCCCTTATTTTTTAGTTTTATTGGACCTGATCAGTATGTTCTATATAATGCAAGCTCAACAGCTAAGGAAAGACCACTTGTAATCGATCGCGTAACGACAACTCTTTCCATATCAAGTAACTTTCCACTCACCTCCTCATATTCAGAGTATGACGTATATCATTATGAAGGTGTCATGCCGAGACCAACAAGGATCTATGGCATTCTGGGAACCATGCGCCTTCTTTCGGGCCGCTTCCTAATGACAATCGACAGGTGCGAACTTGTTGGAAATTTATTTGGTCATCAAATATTTCAAGTAACCTCTGCATCCCTCCATCCGTTTGCTAAATCAATGAGTCATCTCAGTGCCGTTGAGGTAAGTGCTGTATTTATTCCTATAGACCATGCTAAATTTTAGATGGAAGCTGAGACTGCTTTTGTCAATATGCTCACGTTTATGCTGCAAATGAAGGGAATGTACTTCTCAAACACTTACGATTTGACTGTCTCTCAGCAACGTCTTTCTGAATTTGGTCCAGAATGTAGGAATATGAGTCTTTTTGAACGAGTGAGAGCACGTATTTGTTGTATTTTCTTGATTTCTGTTAGATGTGATTTAATCAACCGCTTTAATCGCTTTGTAGGCTGATAAACAATTTTTGTGGAACAACATCCAACTGCAGGACTGGTCTCAAGTGCTTGAAGCGGCTGCGGAAAGCAGTGGATTACCATTTAATATCTCCAACTACCTCACCCCAGTCATTCTTGGCTTCGTTGGGATCCTAAAGGCTTCAAACTCCCCTGAATCCATTGGCCGCGTTGCCAGCTACGCTGTTATCTCGCGTCGAGCTGTGAATCGGGCTGGAACTCGTTATTTTGCCCGTGGTCTTGATTCCAGCGCCTGTTCGGCGAATTTCGTGGAGACGGAGCAGCTGGTCTACCTCCCACCCAATCACATATACTCCTTCGTGCAGATTCGTGGGAGTGTCCCACTCTACTGGAGCCAACGTCCTACATTGGAGTACAAACCGGGAATCAAACTAGGTCGCTCTGAGCCTGCTAGCTCGTTGCCCAATTCCCAGTACGAGCCGCAGTCGCTGGCGGATGTGGAACCGATTCAGAGAGACATTATTCAGCGACACTTTCGCGACGTCTGCTACTTTCTTCACTATGGAAAGGTGATTGCGGTAAATCTGTTGGATCAGACCGGCATGGAACGTCCTCTCTGTCGGATGTATACCCTGGCTTCCCTGGCGGTTGATTCAGAGGAGCTGAAGTATGTGTGCTGGTGGCGCTATCTTTTGGCTGTGATTGGTTGGCTGGTTGGTGAACGCTTGTTTTTTTGCATTTCGATAGATACGAGGCCTTTGATTTCCACAGAGAGTGTCGAGGGCTTAAGTGGGACCGGGTACATACCTTCATTGATCGACTGGAACCGGAACTCGCTGCTATGGGGTGGGTTTTTTTCGAATTTGTATAACTACTCTTATTTTCATTGCTTTGCTTTTAAAGATTGTATTTCAGTTTAAAAATCGTTCGGTTAGCCATCGTTATGTACGAGAAGAGGCATTTGAAGTGTTCCAAAAATTTAGTGGCAATTGTTGTCATTGTTGTAGTCTATTTCCCTCTGAAGCGCGCTCTGATAGGGGACGTACTAAGTTTCTTTTTTACTGGGAGCAAAAACTCATTCTAAAGAATGCTAGTCATTTCTATGGGTTGTTGTTCCCGTGTTTACTCTCTGAGGATTAGTTTATCTCACGTGATTTGTTGTGATGGCGAAGGGCCCGAAAAGTAAATACATAACAAAACAAACATTGGTAGGTAACTGAGTCTTACAATATTTGACGCATCGTTTCCGGTGCGACCAGATGCTATGCACTTGGAACAGGTAATCTTAGCAATGTTGCAATTTACTGAAGAATAGTGTAATTCCTATACAGTACTTGTTTCCTGTAGTACCCACCTATCCCATTAATTTCGATGGTGTTCCTCGCTCTTATCCTATTTTCTTAGACGAATTTCAGAGGGGATTTTCATTTGAGACACATTGTTGAAGTAACGATGATACTAGGATGTAACAGCTACCCCCGAAACCATTGTAGGGCATACGAGGTACTTTTAGCAATTACTACTGTACAAATCATCGAAACAGTAGGTTGAAAGTTATTTCTGCTTTCCGCAGGCTTCGAGATGCATTACAGGAATGGAGTCGTTAAGTATTGGCTAAGAATAGGTCTAGACTTCTTGGAAACATTTACCCAAAAGCAAAAGCGATTTAGCTAAATGCAAAGTCCCGACTTTGTTTACCTCGTATTGCTTGAATCCTTCGCAGCCGTACATGGGAGACTGTTCTCATGGCTTTTGCAGGCTGTGGTAATAACATCCTCATATTCCATTTATTCACTGCCATATTTGATTAATTTAAACTATTTTTTAAATAAGTTTGAGTGGTTGGTTAATGTGATTCTATTCTCTCCCCTTTTATTGGCCTAGGTGCCGAAATTAAGATCGAAGCAGCGGCTGATGCTCGACGCGACTTTGATCTCTTCTGTCACGAGTTTCAGCAGATTCGCTGTGTATTTTCATCTGCGAAAATTGGCTAACCAGTTTAAACATGGACCTTCCTTGTTACACCCCTCAAAAGAGGGAAAAGACGTAAGGCGTACACGAATCTAGAAATGGCTTTGTTTCAACTTACTGAGGAACGGGAAGCCTATTAAGGATCGGAAGGATTGTGTATAAACATTACCACCTGAGAGCGATCCTTCAAAAGTACTCACTAAGTTGGAATAGGATAGCACAGAACATAAAACAGTGTGCCTTAATCCTCGATTCACCTTGATATTTCACTGGACCATTGATTTGCTTTTAACTACTCGTTGTCAGCCAGTTGAGGTTGTCTGCTCCGAGCAGCCGGGAGAGTCTGCAGGACGCGGTAGTGTTGACTCAACAGTGTGGCGTCTTCCGCACCAACTGCATCGACTGCCTTGACCGCACTAACGTGCTCCAGTCGGTACTGGCACAACGCGCCCTCATTGCTGCACTGCGTGAAGCTGACATCCCCACTACTACCACATCGGCGAGGGAGGTGGAGCTGTGGCCCGGTTTCGGGATGGCGTTTAGGACGCTCTGGGCCGACCATGCCGACATGCTCTCCCTCCAGTACTCCGGCACTCCCGCCCTCAAGACCGACTTCACCAGGACTGGTAAGTTGCTGGTTGTTTTAACAAGTGTGGAGGCGTGTTCTCAGTGAATGCTTTTCAAGTAGTGCTAGGATGGCTGGTTTTAGTTACCCCTGAAGTGAACCTACTACTATACCTGGAGGGTGCCAACTTTTCGACATCACAGATGTCTGTAAGTGGCTGCGTTTAAGGTAGCCATGAAAATGTTGGTCTTTGGAGTGTTTCCATCATTGGTCATGTGTCAATTAGGCGGTCCACACACAGGAATGACTACCGTGCTGATGGTTGGAACCACAATGATTCTAATGCTTACTGGCGCCCTATTAGTCTATCTTGAGACATTTACACCATTCAGCTGCCTTACTTCCGAGCAGCTTGTATCGAGAGACATCCGTTAGGCCGAATTTTAGTTCTTCCTTATTGGCACGCACTACCACTTTTGCCTGTCGTCTTGGTAATGTTGACTAGACTATTCTTTTGCCACAACTTGGACGCTCTCTATGTTATTGTGTAATGGAACGCATCTGCAAGCGTGTGTAGTGGTGCCACAGAACACCACTTTTCGAGTTTGTAAAATTAAGTTTTATTTGATTTTGATCCCCTTTCTTATCTTAGCGTCTTCAAAGGTAACTATGGGAGCGTATTTATTCTTTAGCATTTATGATTTTAATGATCTCTTTTGGGTGGTAATTGCAGTGCGAATTTGCCGACATTAAAAATGAGTGTTGGACTTTGGTCTCTCTGACCTGAGTTTTTGATATTGGGAGCAGTCTGTCTGAACTGAAATACCTCCATTGTTTCAGCTCAGGCGAGTTCTCTCAATAACCTCTTGATGTCTGTAGCATCTGCCCCAGAGTAGTTGTGGATTTACTGGCGTGGGTACTGAAATATACGACTCGATAGTGATAGCGGGTAGTTGAGCCGATTAAAATTACTGGAACTCGTCTAGTTTTCCTGCTTTATTTGCGAAAAACCTTCTTTACCACGTTGTTTCTAGAGTCTGGAGTGGATATCCACTTTCTGTAATCGAATAATCAGATTTCTAGAGACCCTTTGAAAAAAGATGAAGTCTACTTTAGAATCGTGCTTTGTGACCTCTTACCCACGTTTTCTGATCATTTGTGATGTTTTGAAAGGTTTATCTCTACAATTTTCGACTTTACTACGGTAATAAATCGCTAATACAATTGAATCTCTTTGTCTTTGAGCTAACCGAGTTGGTCTAGTTAGCTCGTGCTCACTGCATTAACAACTGCGGTGGGACATTGTATGCGGTAACTAGGTAACTACAGAAGGCTTCCTTAAGCACTTTACTCTTTAGTTTAATCTGTTACAATTTTTAGTCTTTTCAAAATGAGATACAGGAAGCGAACATCTCAGCCCCAATTCTAGTCATAACCACTTCCTCCGTTTTTGTCTCACTACTGCTTTCCAAATGTCTAGTCTGTTTCCCATACGATCATATGAATGAGGAGGATGGGATTGAGGTAGCATTTTGCATTCCATCTTTTCTTAACATTCAAATCTCACTGCTTACTTGCAGTTTGAGGTAGCTGGGGGGTTGCGGGTGTCTGTGGGCGCAGAGAACGCTCCATTTTCGATTATCTGGCGTTTTCTTTCATGCCTACTTCCCAATTGTGCTGAGAATGTATCGAAACTCACCCCCTCGTCTCCACTGTTCAGGCAGCGGGCGCAAACGAACGCGTCGTGTCCCCTATTCACCCACATCAGTCGACAGCGAGGGTGGTTGTAGTGAACCCCTTCCCTCTTTTGATTGTTCCGGTTAGGAACTTGGCAGCATTCGCACTTACACGCATACATACACTGCGGTTTACTAGCAATGTCATTCATACTGCTATTCAGCGTGACAAGCTGTACCGAAAACCGTGTAGACTTTTATACTCGTCTGGTGATTCGGGTGTAGTTTTAAATGTAGCTTGAGATACACTCTTCCATCATTGCACAGTTATTTAGCCGTTTACCAAAGTGGAATCCCTCACTGGAAGCATTGGTTAACACCTCTTCTGTTTAGGCATTCACGAGCTTGTCACGCAACGTCATGGATTGGACGCTTTGTAATTCGTGGAAGTGTCGTTTTGTTCCACAAGGCATAAGGAATTTTTCATGTATACAGTAATGACTACGTCGTGACACGTGCCAGTCATTCTTTGGCAGCTTTGGCATTGAAACGTATTCACCGAGTACCACACTTACTCGATTTTCAACCGCTTTCTGTTTTGCAGTTTATTCTCTCCGCAGTCTTTTGTCCGTATCATGTCACCGACACAGCCTAATTGTCGATTCGGATCACTCTTGTGCTCTCCCCCAACGGCACTTCAGTCACCACTGCCGCAGACACCCTTTCTCTCAGTCCAACGACGCCAGCACGTACACACTTACCTAATTGACAGCAAAAAATGCGGTCATTTTCAAATCAAAAGCATTATCTTGGGCCTGTTTACCGTTTTAAACTTAACCCTTCCATCTGCGATAGAAGACTTGGTGCAACCAGTTGTTTACACACCGAGAGGGGACACGTGTCACACACTTGTGACGCACGGGTTTAAGTGAGCAAGCTCACTTAGAGAGCCGCAGACATGCGTGAGACGTTGCATCCAGGTTAGTGCTGTTGTGATAACAATTGCGTCGTGTTGTTTCCTTGTGAAGGCCGTGCAGCAAGCAGGTGATCATTTTGTCGAGTTCTATGTGCCATTTGCCATGTTTACTACCAGTGGAGGAGACTCGGTACACTTGGAATGCTGTCGTCACGACTGGTTACTTATTGAAGTTAATAGGGGTACAAATTAGGGCTTTACAAAATCCCTTCTTTTGCTGATGTTTGTGCACCTCGCTACTTGGTGTGTTGCTAATCCGCCTAAAATTTGCTCTATCCTATCTCAAAATTTCATAGACAGGTAACTATAGGACCTACTAGTTGAGATCAGTAGTGGCGAGTTCAACTTTCCCTTTTGCTAGGTAAACGTACCTTTAAAGGCATGCTAATGGATGGCTACAACTCGCTGGTGCGCTACTACCTCAATAACTTTGCTGACGGATTTCGGCAGGACGCCTTTAACCTCTTCCTCGGTCACTACGAGATCTTCAACCCGGTGACTGGGCGGGCAAAATTGCCGTTACCACAACGTGAGCGACAGAGTATCCGGCGTCGTTTCTTGCCCTTCTTCCTTGCCTTCTCCATCTCCATGTCAGTCCTCTGTCTGCTTTTTCCCTCTGGTGAGTTTCGCTTTTACGCAAACTTGTTCCTTGTCAGTGATGTGTCTGCTTCAATACTCAACCTTTTGTAAAAATGAGCAGTTCTCCTCTTAACTCCATGTTTTATTACATTTGACACCGCCAAATATAAACTTATAGTTGATTTGACCCATCGACTGACGTACTTTGCGTTCTGGGGACTGGCTTCAGCCTTCTCTATGTCCACCATCCTCTCTAAAGGCCAGGAATTTGTCAACAATCCCCGCTTCCCTATGGAGTAGCGCCGTTGATGCCGCCGCTTCGTCCCTACCCCTCTTCCGTCCTCCCTCATCCTCTCCTTCCCATGTTTCGGTGACTTTGGGATTCCATTTTTCTTTCATTTCTTTCCTACTGTCACTTTTTCACTTTCATTTGTTGGCTTATACGTGGTGGGTTAGCGTGGAAGACCACCAAAGGTGCGCGTGGGTGGTATGGTCTCAATTTGAATCGGATGGCGAGGATGGGTCGCGCTTTACGGCGAGGTGGGACTCTGGAGGTTGGTCTAGGCTGACTGCAGTGCGCATGCCGATGCTAAACGATGCAAATCTTGGCCACGACCTGTGTGACAGGAGGCGATTTCACTTGTTTGTGCGCATCGTAACGAACAGGGGCGTGGGGAGGGGGGGGTGAGCCGTGAGGCGGGTGCCCTCGTAAACTTATCTATTTGGCGCCTGAACTTAGGCAGGTGTTGGAGTGTGTTAGTCCTTACCGTAAGTGGAGGTGGAGAGTCTTCCCTTTATCTAGTCTCCCCGTGTAGGGATATGAGGGTATCCGCCCATTTCAGCTTGCATTTCCACAATTACTGTAAGCCGTTCTATGGGTTTCGCTTCCTATACCCATGCTTTATAAATCTGTGAAGAGGGGGAGGTTGTACAAATTGTTTTGGTTAGTCGTAAGAGTACCAAAACTTTGGAATTTGAAAACACCATAGGTAGATCCCTCTTCGCTGATTGGCTGCAGGCAATACCAACTGCGGAAAAGATGTCAGGTGTAAGTAAAATCTGGTATATCCCCACCGCTAAAATATGTAAAGCAGAATAAATAAATTTTGCTTCATAATACTATTCCCTAGATACACGCTTAAACAGTTTCAAGTATTTGCTCAATCTAAGCAAACGCATTTTATTACTCGAGATAATTGCCGCGGTTATAACATCAATTTGCATTTAAAGTAAATCAATCTGTTCGATAAAATTATAAAATAGTAGGCTTTGGTGGCAATTTGAAATTTGTTTATGTTGGATCGGTTGGCGCCGGATCTGAGCAGTTGTGGAAAATGGGTGCTTATCTGTCAAAACCCGAGACGGCAAAAGAAACGTCATCAGACTCCAATGAATGGGTTTCCTACGGTTGTTCCTCCATGCAGGGATGGAGGCGTTTCCAGGAAGTGAGTCGCATCTCTATTCACTTTTCCACGCTAAATGCTACTCAGGCAATTGGACTTTAAGGTGAAGTGTGGAACGCAGTCCTTTTGAAGCTCCTACCTGCAGTTGTCCTTAAAAATTTTGTTTTCTTCATCTTGTCAGATATTGCCGATTCATCTGATTTCTGGGTTGAGGCGTTGTAAAGGCGATCCGCTAATTTCATTTAATTTGCTTTTTGAAGGACGCACACAATTGCATCTTGGAGTTTGATCCCAAAAGAACAGCCTCATTCTTTGCAGTCTATGATGGTCACGGGGGTTCTGAAGTCGCCAGATATTGTTCCTTGCATTTGCCTGAGTTCATTCTCTCACAACCACGATATGCAATCGAGGATGGGCCAATCAATCCTGTCAGCATCTTGAAGAAGGCATTTATTGACTTTGATGTCTCGCTTACTCGAGCAAAGGTCGGTTGGATAATGGTTTGCTGTTAGTTTTTTGCGCTTTGAGTATCCGGGCTATGCAAAAACGCTGTGTATTGTACTCGATGTAGGTCAAGTCGGAGTTGAAGGAGATAGCGAGTCCTGACGCTGATACGGATACTGTTGAACTCTCTCCTCACAACTCCGATGCGGAGGAAGATGGAACAACTGAAGATGGAACGAAGAGGAGGAAAAGAAGAGCGAGAGAGGCTAAAAGTGGCGCTGGGGACGATGACGACGTGGTGCCCCTACCTCTCACCGAGGAGGGTGTTGAAGAAATTTCCGAATTGCACGAGGAGGCGGCGCGACCGATTGAGGCTGTACTGCGGAAGCAATTTAGAGACGAATTACCCGATTTTATTCAGGTTGGCCGCCTCTTCTACTGTTTGTCTCTTATTTTTCCGTCCAGTGAATGGTGGATGAGTGACGGTGTTCCTCTGGTCACGTGCAACTTCTAGGCATTCCTGGCCAGTATTTCTCCGAAACCGGGTGATGCTGGTACCTCTGGTCCCTCCACGTCTGGCACAACCTCTGACGAGCTCGCCACTGGCAGTAGGGCCTCCACGGAAGAGGCGACTGCTTCTGGTAATGATAAAGGTGTGTTTAAATATTTAAAATCTATCAGTATGCCATCGTCTAAACACGACGCTTTTATCGCTTTGTGTCGGATTCTCCTGGGAATTATCTCACTTCTACCCTTTAGTCTTGCCTTTATGCTCTTTACGAGAGTACGCGAGAGTAGAACATGAGTCTTCGTGATGAGCAAATCTGAATAATCAATTACCTTTTACGACGGTTACACTTTAAGATCGTCTGTGTATTTTGGTGTTTTGTTCACCATCTGATAAGATCATACCTCGGACGCCCTATTCCCAAAATCGTTTCTGTTGGGCTGTTCAGTCTATCAGCTGTCACACGAGTCTATCATGATCCGATCTACAGCAATTTTTCTACCACTTACTTGCTTTTTTGAGTTTTCCTGGCACATCTCTCTGTACTGCCCGGTTTTGTCTTATCAATCTGAAGCTGTTTTAACAAAATACGACGCAATTAATTGAGTAAAAACTTTTTATTCCTTTATTCGTAGCCCTACCTGTGTGGTTTCATGTAAAACCAAGTAAGATATGCTTATGATGGGATAGATTAGTTTTCTTGGTATATAGCTCTAAAAACAACCACTGTCGTTGAAGTTAGTGATTGGCTTTTTGTCTTCGAAGCCTAGGGGTAACTGCATACTATTTCTGGATTGATCCGCCCGGTTAGAATTGTCGCGATTACAGGTGAGCCTCGAGGATGCGACGGTCTAAAAATGTCTTATTCACACTACCTTTTAGAGGTTGACGAAGAGGCAAAGGTAAGTCCTAGTGCGACGACCTCTGAGGAGAAATCCGCTCCCCCTATTGGCGAGAAAGAAGTGGAGGAGGAGGGGAAGGAAAATGACACGAAGAAGGCTGAGGAGGAGGATTCCCTTAATCTCTCTGGCATCGTCGATGAAAGCGTTGGCGACAAAGAAGAGGAAGTGGATGCTTATGACGACGATGATGAGGATGATGAGGTCCGTTCCACGCTCTTCCACAATCTTCGTTCAATTGAGGTTTCTCTATCATGTCTGCCCTTTTGCAGGATTTTGAAGTGGACGATGAAGAAGATTATGACGATGACGAAGAAGGCGAGGAAGTTGACTACGGCGAGTACGACGAAGACGATGACGATGATGAGGAGGAAGAAGAGGAAGAGGGTAACTCGATCAGTGTGCTTCCACGACCGGTGGGGTTCACAGAACCTGGTGTGGACAGCGGATCAACGGCCTGTGTGGCTCTGGTGCTCCCCGAAGTGGGGGACCAAAATGGTGAGGAACAGCAACCGCGGGTCTGTCTCTACGTCGCCAACGCGGGTGACTCGCGGGCTGTTCTCTGTCGGGCGGGCGCTGCCGTAGACCTCTCCGAAGACCACAAACCTGAGGACCCATCCGAAAAGGCGCGCATTCAGGCTGCTGGCGGCACTGTCACTGCGGACGGGCGCGTCAATGATGGCCTCAACCTCAGCCGCGCTATTGGCGATCACATCTATAAGGTGTGACTTATTTTCCCTTTGCAAGCGCAATGTTTGGTTGGGTAATCGACTACCCCTATTTATCAGCACTTTTTGTCTAGGTTGTGAGAAGGGGGGTTGTCTCTTCAGTGTAGCTGATTTCATGTTGCCTCAATTTGCTTCCTCTTAATTCTTTACTCCCAAAATGTGCATCCATTTACTCTTTGTGGCAGCACTCGGTTGATGGTATGAAATATCATCTGCCCCATTATTTTATTTACTTTTTGAATGCTGGTTAGCCCTCTTGAGTAGCTTATTTTCTCGTATATGGTCGTGGTTTCAAACTATAGCATTGTGGGGGAGCCGGGGTGAGGCACACTTTAATCAGTGTCGATGCAGCTTTTTTTCATCGGTTTCTGTGGTCATGTCTTGATTGCAAATGAGTGGTGTCACCGACGGTTGCGCCTAACTGGCGAGTTTTTTAACTCAAGCAAAAAAGGGGCCATGATATCTGTCTGAATGGTTCCATAAATCTGGGCAACATTAGTACCAAACAGGCTGTAATTTGGTTAGCTCCCTATGAATTGAAGTGGGGTCTCTTGATAAGGTAGTATTTTGAGGTTTGTGGTCTCTTTAAAGCGTAATGCGATCTGAAATTTGCTTATATTCCCCAGATCTCGGCTCTCCTGATCGATGTCACGTATACTAGGCTTTGGTTAGGTTCGGAGAGCCGTAGACCTTATTCCGTTTGACTGAGTTAGGTATAATAAGTGCATTTTGTCATGCTTCATGATCTCTCAACAACTCAGAGTTGTTAAAACGCTAAAACCGATGTGCGTTGTTCACGAGTTCATGCCTACTGAGCTAAAACTTGGACTTTGGATCGAAAATCAAAGTTGGCATTGCTATCTAACTGGTTTGGCTCTCACTACTGCGTTCACTGTTGAACTTAGAATGACAGTAATTCCTTTTCCGAGGTGATCTCATCTACCGGTCCACTAACATGCAATATGATGACATGACCCCTTGTGCGTACCACGAAATCGTTTAATTACCACTACTGTGAGCATAGCGTTGACCTGATTTCACCAAAACCAACCTAATGGCTTGCTTGACATTCTGACATGCGTGTAGCCCACCCGAATAGGACACTAGCCATCAGCTATCTGAAATGGTTGAATGCAATGCCATGGCAGTGCCTCCGTTGCTTTTTTGTATGTCCTATCCTCGAAACTAGTCATCCTGGTGGCAAATGAAGTTTGTAAACCTGTTCACCGAATAATAGAAGTGCAGTTCGCTTTGCTTCGACATCTGCCTGTCAAATCTGATTTGATGCTCAGCGTCGTAGGTTCTCTGACTAATTTGAACTCGTAGGTGCCTCGATGGAATCGATGTCTTTGGGGTGGTTCCCCTTAACCACTCCTCATTATATAGACCCTAGCACCAGTGGAAAACGATATCGTGCTTCTTAATCCGTTTTTTTCATGTGTAGTGTCGAACCGACCTGAAGATGTCGGAGCAGATGATCTCAGCCCTGCCGGACGTGTCACGGACGGAGTTGATACCAGGCGCTGACGAGTTCGTGGTCATCGCTTGTGACGGCATTTGGAACGCCATGAACAGTCAGGCTGTGGTAGATTTCGTCTACGACCGTCTCCATCCCGAGTCCGCCTCCGCCCCACCAACTTCCAACGGTGGGGACGGTGAACCTGCCGCCGCGACCACCACCACCATCGCCACAGAAAAGGCGGAGGACGGAAAGGAGGAGACGACAGCGCCCATTGATCGCTCTTCGCCCGCCTTTCTGGCCAAAATCTGCGAGGAGGTGAGTCATCGGCACCCATTTCTTGCAACTGGGATACTCACTCCCGTCTTCTCCGTGATGAAGCGACTAGTTTTTTTTGAAAGTCGAGTGTTTGTAATGAGTCATCCTGGCTACTTTTGTATTACCAAGTTTTTTGTACAAGTGCGCTCTTCATTTAATAATGGCGTTCAGTTCGCCCTCATTTCACAAAAGCAGCACTCATGGATGGTTAGTTGGCGGCCCCTCATTGATGTCTGCCTGGTAGCGCGCTGTCTACGTGACTGGGTGTTTAACCTTGACGCCGATGCGACTCGCATTCAGCGGTCCCAGATGACATCAACACTGGCTTTTGGTTTTTTACCGCTGAACAATGGCAGTACTCACCTTCAATGTTCTTCAATGCTTTAGTGAAGTAGTAGTGGCGGAACCGATTTTCTTTTAGCATGAACTTGTGGATGCTTTTTTCTCAAAACTTTCAGCGATGTTTGATGTTGAGGTCTATGCAAATTGGCGCAAGCATTTGATCTTTAGTGAGGGTTGTCTCGAGTGGACGTCTTTTGCGACCTTAAGTTGCCATCGCACGTCTACTTCATTACTACGATATATTTGTGCCCCCCTCCCCGACATATTTTCGTGCCCAGTGAGTGAAGAGCTAACATCCATTAGGATTTTGTAGTTTCGTATCTCTGTCTAGATCATTCATCTTTTGCTTCGCGGTATTTAATCAACTTGGAAACAGCTGTTCTCCTGGAATTCCTAGCACTCATTTGATGCTTTTGTTAGCTCACGCTTGAACGATTGTTCGGCTTTTTTTTCATTTCTCCTGTATTGCCTTTGCCGTCTTGGAATTTCTGACTTGACGCGAGTTTTGCCCATCGAATAGCTACACTGAAACCTCCATCTCCTCCGATAATATCATTTGTTTGAAAATAAGCGATTGTTGCTTCAAGTATGTCCGGTTGCTTGAGGGGCCCTTGAAGTCGTACTGTAACCTCTAGGCCCTTCGATTGTATTAAAGTCCCCATATTCTGACTACTTCATTGAGCCGAGGATTTGCTCACTTAATTGGTTTGGGGGGTTAATAATAATGCTAGCATTTGTCCTTGAAGCTCTTCGACGCCTGCCTCGCCTCCAACACTATGGGTGATGGAACGGGCTGTGACAACATGACCTGCATCATCCTTCGCTTCGACAATCTGCCCGAACTCGCTAAACGCGCCATCACGCGCACCTGTACAACACCTGACGCTGCTGAGGACGGGAGTGACTTGGAGGAGGTAGAGAACGCCGAAGTCAGGGAAGCAGTAGAGTCCATAGAGGAAGGTGTGGAAAAAGAGGAAGAGGAGAGTTCGGAAGAACTAAAAAGCAGTTTTATGCAGTCATCACCAACCCCGGTGGTAAATGGCAACGGCGGGTCAGGTGACGGCGCTCACATGGCCCCCTCGGGAACTCCTCCCTCGCCAGCTCTCTCGCCTGCGCCAAAGAAGGCGCGGATCGAAGCCTCACCACAGAACGGCGATGGTGGTGGAGAGACACTTACGTCAGCCGAATAGAGGCGCTACTGTTGCCCTGCTCCAAAAAGACTTCGTCACCACTTTCCCTGTGTACATGCCCTATGTGCCACTGTTACTAAGTTCTGCCTCTATGTCGGATTTTTCTCCATTATAAGCCGAATCCATGACCTGTCGGTTTTCTTTTGTGAATAACTTCCTACTTTCATCGACTGAAGGAGCGAGGGAAGGTGTGGATCCTCTGGTAATGCTAGCTTACTTTAGTAGTAGCAGCTGAATGGTTTTGTTTACCTACTTCGGTGGTGTGGCTTTGTCGTGGGGAGAAATAAACGAGCTCCGACGGTTTTTGTATGCATGCTTTCTGTTACCAAAATTCATTCCATCCTGTAAAATTGGGATTCATCTGGTTGGTCGCTAAGGCAACTAACTGGGCGGGACAAGGTCTGTTCGTCTATTTCTACAGATCAGTACTGAGGAGCGAAGCTCTAAATTCTGAAGTAAAGTCTCCAATTTAAATCTCGATGTTAACGTGTTGACTTGATGATCAACTGCACAATACACCACAGTGCTACTGATTCGCGCAAAACTGGTAAATTGTGCTCCATTTTCAAACCCGAGAATTTGTTTTTGCTCTGCCAAGCCAGCTGACAGTGAAATTGACTTGCGGAAAGCCAAAAGTGTAACCATTACATGACGATGCTTATTTTGTGTTCCGCGTTTAGCCATTGTGAATACAAGACACCAGTAATATCGTAAAACTTCGAATTTACGCAGAAACGCAAGGCAACCTGCACTCCTGCTAGTGGTGTAAATCTGGGTCAGAAGGAAAAAGCTGAATTGTTCTCAAATGCGTTCTTTATATGATTAGCCAATTACTTATCACACTGCAATCACCAATTTACATTGCAAATTAATGGTAAATTTGCCAGTATGTTGCTCCTACGTTACACACCTAAGTACTTTAAGATAAGACAGTTTCTATTCTTAAAGTTCTTTAATAGTAGTGAGATAGGAGCAATGCACAGTTCGCACTTGAAGTGCTACCTATCCCGAAGAAGTGGTTGGCTCTGCGAATAAGCATTGTTGCAGAAACTATGGTTAGTTTATTTATAGACCCATTCTAGACCTTAAAGTCAACATCAGCTATTATCGTGCGGTGAAAATACCTTCTAGTCTCCACTTCAAAGTGATATTTGAAAACAATTTTGGCTCTACAGACCAAAACTAGTTTGCACTACATGCGTGAAAATTAGCATGTTCTGGACACCTACAAAAGCTACAAAGTTGATGCAAAGATCCTCTTCATTGTTATCGGTAGCTTGCTGATACCCTGTTTGAATTTAGTTGGAAACAGGGAAGATAAAATAGTAAAGCTCCTTATCAGTTTAACCAATAACAAGGTAATACAGCAAGCCTCATGAAACTCGTTCCTACTTTAGTAACAAATGGCGGAGAGCTCAAGCTACTTGGCATAGTAGTGTAAAACAATGCCACAGCAAAAGAACCGACATCATTGTAATACGTTGGTTGCTTGCTTAGTAGTCGGTGTTGGTAAAGGGCGATTGCCTTTGCCATTGTGTCTCGCTGTGTGGGCTGGTCCCCGGGCCAAGCCAGTAGCCCTGATACGTCCCATACGTCTTCCTTCGTCTTCAAGGGAGTCTCAGAGAGCTACGGTCATATCATTGGAGTGAATCTCCGCCCCACTGCTGGAAGACTATGACTCTACGATGAAATGGAATCTGAAAAGTGGTGTCACAGACAGATTTACAACGAATGAGGAATTTGCCCACCGGAGCTAAGTACTATTAGCCCCAACTTTGAACAAAGGAGAGTCAAATGAAAATTCAAAATACACAAGGAGTTTAATTCATTTCCCTACATAATCACCCGTTGGGGATACGGCAAGACTATGGTACAAGGGTTTCATCAGAAAGAAGAAACTAACTGCCTGTTAGTAGTCAAGGAACAAATCAGTGGATGGTGGATAATTGAGGTCAAAAAAGGAGGTATCTGATCAAAGGGTTTCTCTCCGTGGTTCCGCTCCGTCCATCATAAATATTTGCATCATTTGGAGTTAATCTGTCACGTCGAGTGAGTCTGCACCAAAGTTATCTGAAAAATATTTAAAAGACGTCTACCATTCCACTGAATAAAAGGGGTGATTTGGATTCCAACTCATGCTCTACTAACCAGGAAACGGTGAGACACAGAAAAGTAACACGAAAACATTGGAAGGGACTACAAGTCGTAGACGGCGCGTGAGATTAAAACAAACGTCGGCACTACATGTTGGCTTTGGAAGCAAGTTGTGCCGAAAATGGAAATAAGTTATTCTGACAAGAACACAGCAAAATAATGAAGGAGGAGGAGGTGTTAATTGGGGTGTTGCTAACCTACACACCGAAACTCACCACCAGAATCAACATCTAGATTAACACTGTCAAAGTCACTTCCGTAGAAATGTTCGCCTTCCACAGGTATGTCACCATCGTTATTACTACCTTCTGCATATCCTTTTGGGGGGTATTTACAGAAGGGGGAGTGTTGATCGAGACTCATGGATTTGGCTGACCTGGTACCTAAATTATCGTCTGTGGAAGAGGCAGTGAATTTGGCTTTATTTAGTGTGAATTCTACAGACAGGTCAAACACCTCATATAACACCAGTGATGCACACCGTTCTTTTTTATAGAAATGAGACCAAATTCAACAGTTGCTCGCGTGTGCATACATAGGAAGACACACATCGTGACAGCAGCCACCGCCACGTAAATAGATTGCATGTAAGTGTATGATATTAAGTGGTGTGCAGAAGAGGGAGATGTGTCGTCCCCAGGATCAGGCAGAATCAAATCACGATAAAGGTGAGTAAAGTGACTCAAACTAACCCAAAAACGACTAATTTTGTTAGTTAAAGTGAAACGAAAGTCACCATCAATGAGGCAGCTTCGAATTTTGTGTTTCGAACTCGATGCTGCCTACGAATTAGTACGGTATTTGACGAAAGGAAGTAACAAAAAACCTCAACATTGTAATTTCGAAATCAGTAATCAAGGAGAGGCTATCTGTACTATTCCAAGTAAATTTATCTGAACCAATTTAGAGATCATCAGCCTGTGTAGATGTATGTGAAAACGGGAGAACTTATCAAGCATTCTTAAGTGGAAAATTAGAACACACTTTCAAAACATGTTAAAATTACTTCTCCAGACGATAGGAATATTCATCTACCTAAACGTGCAGACGCAAAATTGAGAAGCCATGCACACGCACATGCGCGAACTGCAAACCGACCAACCACAAAGCAGTAGAGCGGTGCGGCAACAGCTAGCCTAAGTTCCCACAGCAACACTCACCACTGACAACGCAAATATCATTAGCGTCAGCGCCTCGCTCTCGATGATGGTAATAGCTGAGAGGGTCATCATAAAAATACTCGCCCTCAACAACATCGTCATCATCGTTAGAATTGATGGCAGTGTATGGGAATTGACCCGGACCCTCCTTGAAGCAGCCTTTACCCGCACCAAGATCGCCTGTGGTGATTGAAGTTTTTCATGCCAAATCAAAACCGAAGGGTCAAAGTCCAGCAAGCAGAAGAAGGTCACTAACCGTCTCCAAGTTTACCGTTACTGTCGTAGTTGTCTTCTAAGTAGTGTGCCGGCGGAGGTAGAACCTCCTCGTCATCACCGTCTGCGTAACCGCCAGCACCTCCGCCAACGTCAGCGGTATCATTGTAAATCTGGCCGCTCGTCCCACTCGGAATCAAGGGGATCGGATCAACAATAGCTGGCCCATTGTTGTAATAGGGCTGTCCGAGATAGTCGTCTACTGCACCACGATAAACACCAGTGGCCACGCCAGCTGCGATGGCCGGGACAAGGAGGCCCGGCGGACCAGCTTGCAACTGCACGTCCAGGTTGTCACCAACATCTGGGAATGGACGTTCTCTTGTAAAACAACGCCTACTTCATTCAATGTTAGTAGGTAAGGTTCTTTGACGAGCACATACCACGAGGAAGACGGCGGTTAGGCGGGTTACGGAGTTGGTGCCCTGCTATAAGGCCCACGCCTGCGGCAGTGGCACCAACAACAGCTGGGAAGACGGGGAAGTGACTCCTCGGTTTGTTGTTAATGGGAAGGGGTGCGTTGAGGGACAGGGGGATGGGACGAACGATGGTAAGAGTGAGAGGAGCGATATCAGAGGGCGGACGACGCAGGTGCCAAGCAGATTCGATTGCATGGAGGACGGATTCGGAGTTTCGACCGCCACCACCGAGGGCGAGGAGGAGGCGATCATCCAGACCGATGATACGGTCACCGACTTGAAGGCCGGACACGGCGGCTGGGGAGGTGGGATCCAGACTCACCACCCGTTGACCTCCACAGGCGCCGCGCGCTGACGCTAGGGTCAGGCCAAGGCTTGGCTGCGCTGAGTCAGCTGATGGCGGTAGTAATTGAATCTGCACAGGTAAAAACGTTGCCACCGATCACTTCTCTGGTGCGCACAATTAGTACAAGCCAACATACTACTAACGAGCATACAAGTAGGCACATAACTGCAAACCACCGACCGCTTATAAGTGACTCAACTTCGAACAAAAGTGCAGTTGGCCTCAAATGTAGTGGATTACATACTGTTGAATTCAAAAAGGAACAGGCAAAATCATAGTGGTTATGGTGTCAGAAATCAGTGAGTTTAAGCGGATTGGCCAAAGAGGCTACACCACTGATAAGACCTACAGAAAAGAACGATACTACTAATGAGTCCATAAGTATCAGAACGCAATTAACCTGTAGGATTTTATTGTTAGAGCACATTTCATCCTCATCCTCATCATCGTCTCCATCCTCAATCGCCTTGAATCCGACGGGAGAGCGTCTCACCGGCGAAGGAGCTCCCTCCAGTATCTGAGTGGTATCACCTTCCACATCAACGGAAATTGGTTTCATGAACGTTGCCGCCGTGGCCTCCTCACCCTCTTTGAGTGGTGCCAGCCCACTACTATAGAGCGGTGGTTGAGGGGATGGAAGAGGCGAGACACTTGTGGATGCACGTAGTGTTGATGCAGAAGGCGGTGGTGGTGGGGGGAGACGGCCAACTTCGAAGGTAAGGGAATCAAAGTGGTGAGAGAAGCGCTGAAGATCGTCAAGGGACAACCAGCCCACTGGTTCACGGTCGATGCCCAAAAGGCGGTCGCCAATCTAAAACAAAAAAAAAACCTTGTTTAGCTTGGATTTGAGCAGGAGTGATAGTTAGACCTTCAATATCACTGACTGTTTGAAAAATGTACCGAAAATTATTAGGTAATTAACTGGGATTTAATGTAACAAAATCCATAAAGTGGAACTCAGTAGGCAGTAGCAATACCAAAACTAAAGCAGTATCGGAGATGCTCAAAAGCCAGCGGTGCCAGTTGTCTTTGAAATCAGATCCTCGTATCTTCAAAAGGGAGAGTACGGCGGTTTTGAAACACCTCGAAAGTTGCTGTACTGCTGATACAAATTTAACTATCGCATTCCAAGGGCCCAATTTCAATGGGAAATCGGGTCACTAATGCTAACCATAGGGCCAAATTTAGTAGACCTGAATTTTATCCCAACAAAATGCACTGTAGAACGAGCGACTACGGGAATAGAGGCTCGTGCCGCCAAATGAAAGCCAAATAATTAGTAAATTAGTAGACCTGGAGCATGCCACACCGGGAGGCCGCAGATTCGGGTGCGATGCTTTCGATGACGAGATTTCCCGGCACGTATATGCCCTCGCCGGTGGTGACGAGTCTCAGAACCATCCCGAAGATGTTCGGAATTGTGGCATTCAGTCTACTTGGCACGGTTTGTCGCTTTAAAACGCGCAGGACGGGGGCGGAGACAGAGACGTCGAGGTCCTTCTGTGCCGAGGCCGTGAGGGGACGAGTGAGCAGGACTGTGAATAGCCTCAGTCGAGGGACTGTATGATTGATGATGAGGAAGAAGTAGTGGTTATTTTTAGGTGAAGAAGGGGGACTGAAGACAAATCAAAGGACAACAACAATAACAACAGCAACAGCTGGACTTCGCGCCATGATGCATGCCGGTATTGTAATTACTATATTCATATGGGCATGCGTAAATAGTAGTAGTAATAATAATAAATGAGCTTTCTCCATTCAAAAGTAGTAAAATCCACCCAGCAAAGTGTTACGCGATGAATTCGGAGCAACAAATGCATTTGAATGATATGTACACTGAAGCGAATTCGACTTGGATACAGAAGTCACCGTAAGCCTGCAATACTCAACCACAACCCGGCTTTTGCGCAAGGACGAAGCAGCACAACGGCAATTCGACAGGCTCCTGAGTGCGATGATGTTGATGAAGATCAAAATGGCATGCCATAGCACAAGTGAAACGTGCTCCTTCGTGTAAACCACCTCCTCAATTTTTGCATAAACTTACATAGCCAGTCGTCGCGTTAGATGAGAGTGTTGATTGCCAACGGGAGAGAGAAAGGTGGAGTAACAGAAAGGAAGGGAGATTTGCAGGTAAATGGAAAGACATGCACATATATATATATATATGTGTACGCACACATGCACCTCTTTTTGTACAAGGTGTGCTGGTGGAAGAAGGAGGAAAAGAGGACAAAGCTCATGCAAGGGGGACTGGATTATTTGGGATTCTCTGTTAGGTGGCGGTGGAGGAGGCATAAAAAGGTCAGGTTATTCGGGTAGCGGGTAAAGTGAGGCCCAGTGCAACTCACAAGTAGTGTATTAACTAGGTTGTAGCATAATGCCGACTTAACTGACAAAAGTGGAGTGAATAACATCAAGAAGTAATGATTAAAAAGGATGAAATTACTTGGCTGTCCTCTGGGTGGTTTTAGACGACCAGTTTTGAGGAGGATGTGATTTGGGGATTGCTGGAAAAAGCAAAAAAATGCATAAATTTGAGTCCATAATGGTAATCGTTTCGTCCAGACCGTCATTCATCTTTGAAAAAAGAAATTCAGTAGCAAAGCGGAAAATCCAAATGTAAAACGACGATATCACCGGAGGTATCTACTTCAGCTTTTCAATGGCTTAGCTTTATAAGCCGTTGCCAAAATAAAAACACTGCGAAAATGAATGCAAACTTTCAAGAGAGATACTTAGCATACGGACAAATTTAAGTGTAAAAAATAAAAATAAAGACTCAGCCATTCAATATGCCAAAAAACCAACATTTCACTCCTTTTGAGAAAGTGCAGACAGACCAACAAAAGGCCCATTGCCAAAGTACCTACCTTAAGAAGCGTCATGACATCCTGTGAGGAGGCCTTGTGGACATCCAAACCATCGACTTCTAGGATCACATCACCGGGATGCAGTACACTTGCCTGCGATGCTGAACTGCCAGCCGCCTGAAAAAAAACCAAGGGGAAGAGAGGTCATGTGAAGCACGCACACCTACGCATACTTCAAGAGTGCGCATTCAGCGTACAATTTCCGAGATGACCACACCTCCGGAATGATAGTCGGCAAGCACGAGACCGAACGTATTCCCTGGCCGTTTCTGAAGCGCCACGCTGTAGGTCTGCATGATTTCGTTAAGCGAGAAGGGAACGGCACGGCTGCCTCGCAGAACTGTCAGAAACAGATGCTCCTTTGCCTCTCGTAGAGCCTGTTGTAAACAAGGTGATAAATAAATGTCTGCAGGTGATTTGGAAGAAGGCGATGGATCATGAAGGAGACGCACCTTTGTAGCTGCAGCGTGGGTTGCTTGGCGTAGATCGATGCCATTCACTGCGAGGATTCGATCACCCGAGCGCAATCGCCCGTCGCGGTAAACTGTTCCACCTTGGTGAATCTTCTCAATGAATACTCCTCCCTGTAAAGAAACAAAAAAGGGTAGTTTAATTTGATTTCAGCAGGCAAAAAGCAGTAGAAGTGGAAAATGAGAGTGCTGAACGGTTAGCTCTAGCAACGCACCATATGTGTGTCAGAGCCTCCGATCACGGAGCATCCAAGATCGGGCGCGGAATGAATTATCTCAACTGTGGTCTCCACGCCGGGCAAAATGGGTGTGGGCGGTGAATGGGGCGAGAAGGAGCGTGGCAACTCAACTGTCGCCGGAGTAGACTGGCCGGCCACTTCTCCCTCCAAGGTTGCGCAGTCGGATGTTGGTTTTGCGCGGGCCAGTCGCAAGTGAGCAGATGGGTGACAAGTGGTGAGTTTGGCCAGAGCTGCGTCATACTCCTGCACCGGCTCTCCGTTGATCGCCACAATGCGATCCCAACTTTGAACCTGGCCCAACTGTACACAACCAACGGATCAGAGGAGTGGGTTAGTGATATGATGATATGACGAGTCTCCCAGATGCTTTACTTATTCAGCTCGACACTGTACAAATGCTTTAGCTGTTGGTGTTGTCTTAAAAGCCAAGAAAAAAACGTTTCTGTCTGGGCTATTTGAAGGTCTCGTTTTCCGTCCCCATATCCGAACATTCTAGGTCTTAAAATTTGCACTGCCATTCAGTTACCCCTAATTAGCTAATGTCACCCAGAGAGAGAATTTAAATGTGCTAATAGTCACTATGACTCTGAGTCTCCGGTATGCAGCAGGCAGTCACGTATCCGCATGCCGTACCCCCTAACCTACACATGCACGTCGGCAAACGGACTTCCGTAGTGAAGTGGTTGTGAACTCGACAGGATCCAAGCTCCAGTTTATGACGCAGAGACGTGAGTACTAAAACTAGGAACCGGTATTCATCAACAAGACAACCTCACATCTGTGTAGTAATCAAAATTGCTACCCGATTGGATGAAATTGGGGAACGCTCACAATTTGACTCGTTTTCGAGATATTTTAAACGCCTATTCCGAAGCCCAAGTGACCATCTGGCAGGGATTGTCGAAAAAAATACCTTTACATGGATAAACTAAACTGATGCTGACAAGTAACAGTACCATGTATGCAAATGGCTTGGTATTTCAAGCATTTGAACGCCCATTTGGCGTCAGAAAGATGGGTAAAAGTTCCGCAAAAACCACGATACTTGAAATGTAAGTGGAAATTAGAAATCGTCACTTCAATGAATAAACTACTGAAATACGACTAGCTTCGGTAGCTATACACTCATTACAGACAAAAACTACACGGATTAAACACAATACGTAAAGTGTGGAGATACAGGATTCAGAAAAAATTGAGGTGTTCCGTCTCATATCTATTGTCCCCCTCCCCTCGGCTTCGTCACCCTCAGTTTAGCCTTTTGACTCTACGCAGGTAAAAATGTGCAAAGAAGTGATGAAGTGATCTTCGAAATCCAGCCAGTCACGATTAAGCAGTGAAAGGTTGAACTTACTATACCGGCCGGACTGGTGGGCAGCAGACTTTGCACGAAAACGCCCAAATCGCCACGAGGATTCATGTTTACCAAGAAGAGACCCAGCCCACCCTGTGCGTTCTATGGAAAGAAGAGATGGGTAGAGGATATGAAAAAAAGGCAAACAATTATGGACCTACTCTTTCGATGGTAACGTCCAGAAATTCGTATTCGACGCGTTTTGACGACTGGGGTGTTGCCTTGGATATGCAGGGCTATGAAAAAGAAAAATACGAAAATTAGTACTGACAAAAATAGGAAATAAGGCCCAGGTACTTTTGCCCAACCGAAATCGCAAACAGACTTTTAATTTCTTAACAGATACTGCTTTGGGGCAAACACTACTTAGAAGGCAGATAAGTAGTAGTGCCCAATAACACAAATCGATCTTAGGCTATAAGTTCAAGGTTATGCAATTCGAACCCGTAACTCCACCTCAACTAAAAGTGGTGAACGACTTATAAACCATATGAATAGTATTGGCTTGCCACTACCTGGGAGGAGGAGCGAAGCGCGTAGTGATGGAGAAAGTGGCCACAACCAGTGGGCGCAGTGCCAGAAGCGGGTTTGGCCATCACCGAGGCGTTGTAGGCAACGTTGTGACGAATAACGAGGAATATTTTTGGTACATTACCACTGCCATCACTGCCACCACGTCGCGCCAGTTCGACTTCCTTGGCGATCAGAAGTTTTGCAGAGACGTGGGTCAGTCCCATCACGCACACATTGTTGACCTGGGCAAAGAGAAGGTAATCATGACTTCAATAGTTTTTGCTTGGGTCAAAGCCAGCCAGAGGTACTCTAGTTGGTGTTCCAATTACTGGTCGGGGATTATAATACACTTAACCGAAAGCACAAATCGTTTACACCCGTTAATAAATAGCAGTAGTATTCGCAAGCCACGCACCTGAACTATTTCGTCGGTAACTTGTAGGCCAGAGGTGCGATCAGCCAGAGAGCCCTCACGCAGGCTGCAGACGAAAACACCCCGCGAATTCGTGTCCCTGTGGCCTACCAACCGAACCCCAAGACCTGTTTCGCAGTCAGCTGATGATCCTTCATTGAATTCGCTGCCAGGAGGCCCCTCACCTCCCAGTGTGGAAATGGGGGGAGTCAAAGTTATCGCAACTACATGGATTTCGTCATCAGCCAAGGCCGGTCTGCGGTAAGTCTGCGTCAGTTGGGCTATAAACAGAATGTTGCGGTGCGGCTTGGTAACTCCACCCGAATAGACAGTGACTAGTACAGTGATAGTCAAATTTACAAACTAATTAAAACCTTGGAAACATTCAAATTGCTGCAAAAGTGAATCGTCATGATAAAAAACCCACCTAACGAGGCACTGAGGCAAGATGATCCAATGTTGCGCCACGCGGACCGGGATTCGATTGTCTGTACGGAGGGAATGGGCTGACGCAACACCGGCGACGGTGGAGGCGGAGGAGGTGGTAGGTTAGGGGTGGCGACTGTTAGTTTTGGCAGAGGTGGTGATGTTTGGGAGTCTATCGGCATCTCTTCCTCGCCCTTCGGTGGAGGCGGCAGCGGTGGCATCTGCACCGGAGCTGTTGGCGGTGAGATGGCGAGATTGGAGATTCCCAATGGCTCAGGCAGATCACCGTGCAGCTCCAATGATGCCTATTTGCAGAGGAGTCAACGACATTTCAGCACCAATATTCAACTAGAAGATGCTTCAAGAGACTTCGCGATCTTGCTTGTTGAGAATTTATACGTGTATTTCGTGTAAATCTCGTTTCGGCTTTCATGGTCTATTGTCTAAATTTTTGAAAGCAGCAGCATGAGTATTTAAGTTACATTTCCAAATTTGATTCGTTTTAATGAATTCTCCCAATAGAACAAACATTTTAAGGAGACGCTGTTGGAGTACAAAGCATTTCACCGTCACCTCCAAGGATTCGAACTACTAAAACATTCCATCATTTGAAGATTTCTTCATCTCAAATTCTCTGCAATTGGACAATTCTGCGGAGTCTCCGAATTCGTCAGATGTGGATAGACTGTCATCCGCGCTTATATCTCAACGCCAATGTGTTGAACAAGAGTGATTTAAGACAATTTCCGAGAAGTGATGAGTCTTTAAAATCATACTGTAATTAAAGAGTTTTTGGAGGGGTAGTAGACTGAGGAAAAGGAAAGAGAAGGGGAAAGGGGTACTCACGACAGAGGTTGGTTCCTCCATGGAGGAGTCGTTGGAGGAGACGAAAGCGGAGCGCACAAGAGTGCCGGTGTTGCAGATAAAACTAGGAGGACGCCCATCCCTGTCCTGCTGCTGGTGGGAAGAAAATAAAAAAGAAGGAAGGAACTGTTATTTCAAAAGTAAGTGAAAGGATGCAACTTAGAGCACGAACTATGCATGCGTCTCTAGATGTGATGCAAACGCGTTGTTACATCTCCGTGGTTTCAATGTATTCGATCCTTTGAAACGAGAGCTACGCTAAGACAGAAGGCTGTCAGCCTTGATTACATACAACGAGAATATTAGACCCTATCCCACATCTGGCTGTAGGCGAGGCTACTTTCAGCCTCGTAGTTCCCGCAACGTCTTCCAAGATGGCATTCCAATGCTTCGATGACAGCGATGAAGTTACAAGTGCCCGAATACGGTGACTTTTGCTCTTCATTCCTGAGCATAGGCCTTGTCCGCCATATCTAAATCCACCTTCCAAAGAACGCAATAGGCAAGGAACTCACTCCAGAGGGAGCAGACGAATCAGTACCCAAAGCCACTGGTGGAATGGACTGGAGATCGATGATCGGTCTTCCAGCAGATGGAGAAGACGAGGAGTGTAATGGAAGGACAAGGAGGTAGAGAAAGGCCCACTCTGCGGTCTCCAAAGACTCGTTGTCATCCGAAGAGGCAGAGGAGGAAGAGGATACGAGGTTGGCTGTTTGGATCCACTCGGCCACTGTGCGACAGCCCACTCGCGTTGCGTCCATACCATTCACCTAGAGGGAATAGGATTAATAATGACCGGGTAGAGCCTCGACTAAAACTTCGCTGTGCAACTTACGCCGATGATAATGTCCCCACGTTCTAGTAGCCCACATCGACCGGCTGCAGTGTTGGCGGCGACGTCGGAGACGAAGACAGGCTGGGAGACCTCTGGTGGAAGTGACGGAACGGTAGAAGGTGACTCGTTGTTCTGCCACACATCCGGACCTAGAGAATCAATCAAACCACGGTGTTACAAAAAGTCCACTCAAATTGGTTTTCAATATCCCAATATCGGGACAAATCGGTCTACTTAATTACGATTTCAGCCTACTCAAATTTGGAAGGGTCACCGTAGTTTTCTTATACATATGGTACTACTTTCACTGTTGAACTTATATTTTTAGCATATGACATGCTACCTACATCAGAGCCCATTCAAATCATGGGAGACAGCAATACTAGCTACAGAAATAAAATTCTAATGTGACAGTCTCGATGCCGGTGACGCAGTAATGGACAGATAGGCTACTAAAACAGCCTTTCAGTATTTAGAAAAAGGGAAGCATTCTCGATGAAATCACTAAAAGTACGTGAATTAGCACTAGCAGAAGTCGGAACCAGCTCAGAGTATCTCAGAGGATAACCATTTCAAATGTTTTAACAGGACTACGAATGGCAACACCGCTGGAATTAGACCTTGGCGTCAGATGGATGAATTTGTAGGTACAATGGAGGTAAAATAAATAAGGTGGGTGCAATAAATTCAAGGTGATTTATCCATGCTCTTAGTACACAAAAAACGCTGCCACTAGCACTGAAGTATCATTTCAGCCTACCGGTGATAGAGAGACCCCATGTGTCCTCGCCAGGCAGTTTGAGCAGTTTCAGTTCCCGTGTCTGTAACCACCCTGATTTTTGTGGAGGATCCTCCGAAAGGAGCCACGTTAACGGTTCCGTTGTGATAATTAGCTCCGGTGGTGGTAGATCTACAATCCTGTTTGTTTAAACAAATGATAGCGGTGATTGAGAAACTAATATTGAGAGTGATTTAAGTAGGATAGTGTATACAACTCACAGGGTGCTAGAGGCACCGGACCCGTTCACTTGGAAGTATGGACTGCTCTCAGTTTCAGCCGACAGCGACTTGGGTCGAACGTGCTTGATTCTGTGAGTAATTACCTTCTCTCCGGGGTAGTAACCGATTCTACAAAAGGTGAAATAAAAGTGGTACTTAGGACAATCAGTAGAGTGTTTCCTACAGATCTGATTTAGAGGGCCAAAGAGTGGAATCTGCACCAGAGAGATTGGGCAACTCACTCAATGGTGTTGCACTCCATGGAGGCTTTCCGAAGAATGCGAAACGCCTCGGCATTTGTGACACGTCGCAGGTTGTCGGAGTTTATTCGAGTAATGTAGTCACCAGGGACGAGAGCTGCAGCCTTCTCCACGGCTCCACCTCGAAGAACCTTTACCACCCGACAGCCATCAACACCGCCTGCTGCCAGAGCGTCCAACTCGCAACCTGATTAGGTGGGAGAAGATATTATGATATGATTGGCTTAAAATGCGGCACAGTACTTCAATTAGATGTTGTAAATGAAAGATGACGCTTGAGGGCAAATTCTTTGCATCTTAGATTTAAAAATAATAACCAAATTGATGGTATAAGAACCAGTTTGGTATGTGTATTGTCGTAAAATCAGTTGAGACCTTGAAGACAATTTATTCACCTTATTTGCACTTTTCTTGAATATGAACAAGTCTCAAGGCTGAAAGTGCAGACGGTCTGCAGGAAATATGATTTTCTGAATATGGGTGGGACTAACCGAGAGGCAGATTGTGAGTCTTGACACGAACTATCTTCTCGTCATTGGGATTCATCTCTGGCACCACCAGAGCAGCTGCATGGAAGGGCACCTCCTCGACGTCCAACACCAGCGGAGTGTAGTAGTCCAGAGGCTATAGGAAGTGATGTGTGATACACCCAGCATACATTCTTCAATCCACTCAAGGGCTCGTCTACCGATCTACCCATTAAACTACACACCAGCGAAAGTAGTGGCTTGAAATGAAGACATCGAAGTTTGGTGATTTGGCAGAGTGAATTCAAAAAAAGGTATGAAATGATGCGCTCGTATAATCAGAACAATTAGATAAACAAATGGTGGAACGAAATCAGAAAACAATTTGAGCAATCATTTGGCACATTTTATGTGTGAGTTAGTTCACTACACCACCCACCCATTCCTGATTCATTAGCTTACCTCCTCACCTAAATATCTTAAACCTACCCTCAATTTACGAATCCTTCTATTTATCTGTTCTTCCTACTGTGATTAATTTCACTTGTTCATCTACTAATTCAACCGCTTGCCTATGTATCCAACGCAGTTACTGACCGCCCCTTAACTCAAACAAAAACATTCATCCACTCACTCGTCTATCCAATTGCCTATTCGCCAGACATGCATCAATCAACAAAACACCAAGGACATGTTTAGAAGGGCAAAAAGGCAGCAAATTAAGCAGCAAAGCAACAAAAAATGCAACTCAATGCGAAAATATAGCTGGGCACTGTAAAACAGGAAGTAAGTGCATGGGAATTCAAGCATCCCTCACAGACAAAGCACTCCCCTATCCATTCCGCCAGACAGGAGACTCAAAAATCCACTACATTTCCCCCTTTGCATTCATTCATCCATTCATAGGTGTTTTTAAGTAATTACTCATTTTGCCATTCACTTATCCATTCGTCCAATTAGCCTTTTGTGCCCATCAATTCACCCATTCAGTACTTCAATTAGCAATTTATCTTTATTCATCGAAATGTCCGTCCAACTTTTATCCATTCATTTATCTTTGAAGTCGCCCATCCATCCATTCGTGTGTGCTGCTCCATCCTATCGTCGATATATCTGCCCATTCGGCCATCTATCAACCAACTGATGCACAGAACAATCCAGAAGTGCAGTCGCACAAAATGTGGTTTAAAATTCACGGTATACGTGAAAACAAGACCGACCAAACAGGCATCCTTCCAGGCATCCACTCGTTGGTACCATCTATCTGCCAATCACTCAATACGATAACAAGCACACGAAGCAATTAGAAACTAGAGGGATCCGCAAGTACGGGGAAATTGTCTCGGTTAGGTGGAACATTATTTCGAAAAGATGCAAGCCTGCACAAAAACACCAGCCAATCAATCAAGAGATCAGTAAAAAACTCACATGATCCTTCACATGCTCCTTGGCGAACTCCTCCTATATTAGGGGATCAAGAGAGAGAGAGAGAGAAAGATTAAGGAAGGGGAAAGAAGGAAAACTGACCCCCTCTTTAGAATGAAAGAACGACCGTTAAGGTGAGAGTAGGAGGTAACCCACCATGACATGCTTGACCCTCCGTGCTGCGCGTTTAAAAAACATTCTGGTTCTAGCCGATGCGTATGTGAACGAGCGAGTGAATACGTAAAATGAAATGAAGTGAGGCGAATGAATTATGAGAGAGAGATTGTACTTTAGGCAGATCACATGGGCTAAGACGTGATCCGTTTGTTTATTTGTTTCAAGGTGAATAAACAAGACTGCGATGAATGAAAGGACGCAGAACAATGATGGCCAGGCAGGACATTACAACAGCATTAGAAGAGCGGTAAACATCTTCCCTCCATAAGCCCAGATTGCAGCACATTCAAAGCGAGAGGCAGCGATAACAGCCAAACAGGAAATTTCGTCATGTAAATTTTATCCCATCTCCCTTTCATAATGGCTTAGACCCCATGAGACAATACAACATATGAGACCTCGTATTTCAAGATACGAATAAACACAAAGCACAAGAAAACAAAAACAGTGGTTACGTAATGAAGTATTCTACAGCAAGGAGCAATTGAAAAAAAGCGATGAACGAAACTGTCTTTCAGGCCTTAGCTTACTAGGTGAAGAGGCCTTCTTCCCTCAAACCTCTTTTATTGGAGAATTCGACAAAAGATCAAGCCAACAGAAAGACAGAACGCGTGGAGAACCACAACACTTTCGCATGAATAACAACATGCCAAGACATGCCGATAAAACCACAGTCATCGAGGTGAACAGAGAGGCGGGAGCAACAACGGCAGCAGGGGCAGCGTGCACAACCAACCTCGGTGTCGCGCACAAATTCCAAACTGGCCAACCAGTCCTCCGAGGACTGACTCAACTCTGACTGCTCCAAAAAGGTATCTATCGATTCTAGACTACTGTAATCATCGTCTTCGTAATCACGATCGCATTCCGCTAATTCCACACCCTGTGTCACCACCATAACGACAGGGAATTCGCACGTGGAGGCAAGATAGAGGACGCTTGAGGAGGTTATCAGTACTTCGACTGTTTCTACAGGTGCTGTCACTTCTACCAGTCCTTCCAGGGACATCTTGACAAAGTTCTGGAGGTATTCAACTAGAGCCGAGGATACCACCTCCTCCACAATGGCCTTTACTTCTCCGGTGTATTCCAGCACTTCGTCAACCAGACGTCGAGCGACTAGCTGTGGTGAGGACATTGTGCTGCAACCCCACAAGTGCTTATCTCGACTGGTCACCACTGATCGACAATAGAGGGGACGTAAGCGGATTACAGACACGTAACCTGCTACCATGCAAGGGATGGGGTTAATTAACAGACAGACAGCCTATAGCATTTACCATAATTTGCATGCCAAATAAAAGAGGGTAAAGAGGAAAGTGGAGAGAGAAGACTAATAAGATTAGTTGAAAAGTGGCGTGTACTAAAATATGATTTGATTTCGCAAAATTCTTTACCTGCATGGTACCGGGGTCATCGGGATTGGAGACAAGAGCAGTGAACTGTGGTGAGGAGGCAACGGTGAGGGGCGGTGAGTTAGGTACGAGGGTCATTTTGGCAACTCCGATCATGGTGTAACCGAGCGGAGCGTTGTGGAGAGTGTTAGCGGCTTCACCAAGAGTGGCACGAGTGAGTTTTCGATCATTGACGAAGAGCAGACGGTCACCGACGTTGATTCGACCATCTAGATCAACGCAGCTGCCTCGTGAGATAGAATTGATGATGAGGAAACTACCACGATGTGGAGTAGTATCGGGGGAGAGGGAGCTACTTCGACTAATGGTGGCGAAACGACCTCCACCTGAATGGTTCAGGTCGCCGGCAACAGTGCGACGACGACTGAGAGATCCGGACCGCTTTAGCGTACTGCTACGTCGTACTGTGCTTCTATCGCTGCCCATGCCCTAAAAGTGAACCAAGCAAATCGTAGCCACTCAAGCCATACTAGAGGGTGATGTATTTTGAAAGATATCGATGACAAAGTAGCGTAGATGTTTCTTAACATTCAATAATGAGATTCAGAGCCATTGTGACGGGAGGCGGATGCCAAAGACACCGGTACATGTGAAGATGTGGAAACGAAATAGAGATCATTTCAGCATTTAAGTTACTTCATCGTAGACGGAGATGGAGAACCCAAAGTTGGGTTTGTCCCGACGCAGCATCACAATGAGAGGCACTGTTGACCAAGTCGGTTTCAAGGCCACGTGCTCGTCTCTGAGCAGTGCGGAGACCGGGGGGAAAGCGCCGATCACGCTACTCACACTTGATGATGCTGCAGTCGACTCTAGTGACAACAAATTCGGATCCTAGAAGTGCAAAAAATCACGTTTTAATACAAACCAAATGGCAAGTGATAGTAATTAGATCCTTATTGTATAAAAATGAGTGAAATGGTAATAGACTCCTTAAAGAAACCTCGAGCATAGATCTACACCGCTTAAGTGTCAAAAAAAGATTACTTCTTTTCTGTATAAATCAGGAGTTGATGAATGAAAACGCCTAATCACAGTTTTGCATTGTTAAAAAGAAAAGAAGATGAACAAATGACACTACTGAAGTAGAGGTAGGCACTCAGAGAAAGTGAGCAAAGGACAGAGGATGTTGGGTTAGTTGCTTGTGTGCAACTAAGACTAAAATAGGCCACCTAAGAAACAATATCATAGTAATGGAGGAGGAAGTATGTCCCCCCCCCCCCCAGCGGGGTATTTACTGCTTCAGAAAATGCTTCAGCGAAGTCACATTCCAATCACAATACGGGAAAAGATTGACACAGGGGTAGATCTCCATGTACAAAGAGACTAAAAAGTAGAAACTAGGGCTGAAAGTAATGTAAGCAACCAATCGCCTGACTTATAGATACATACAGCATATTAATACAAAGTTATCTGCATGCTACTAAAATAGAAATTAGTACAGAAAACCGAGGGACAAAAAATGCTGCTAGAGAGAACAGACAAACGCATTTCAAAACGTCTGACGAGTTATACATGCAGTAATATTATATTTATGTACCAAAGAAGGTGAAATAAGCAGGATAGAAAATTAGATTTAAATAAGACCTGACGAAACCGTGGCAGAATATGGTACCAGCTTGAATATGAGTAAAAATAAATAGACCTCACCTTAGGAGAACTGCTTTTAAGTTCATGGAGGGGGCCGTCGGACTGTGAACGCCCAATCCACTCAGATATCTTCAAATCCGGCGGATGAGATGGGAGAGCTACGGGTGAGGGACCTGTCCAGGAGCTATCGGCGTCGTCCATAGCCGTGGCCACGGATCCGATCTCGCTAGCGGCGACATGCAATATGGTGCCGGAATCGTTAAGAGTGTCATCGAGGAGGGTGGAGGCACCATCACCATCACCAACACCGGTGCCATTCGTGTCTACGCACTCGGGCAAACGCGCAATCACCAGTTCAATGTGTGCAGGCAGACAGCGAAGGCAGCGGACTACCTCGACGTGCGAGTGGCCATGCAGTCGGTAACCGTTCACCTACATTCGAATTTGAAGGTTTTACTATTGGCTACATTGAAGAGGCCAACTTTAGTAATTTGTCCATGATCACCATCAAATTGGGCAATAAACTTCTGCACGAAACAATAGCCGACTAAATGACCTATTCAAAACAGGAGATTTATGCTAATGAGTAAGCGGAGGGTGAGGGGACGATTCCAGTAGTACGACCACGCCAGCCATTAATTCGACCAAATGCCAGTGGATGGTTATGTAGTGTTACTGTCGTTACTTTATTAGTTTCCTTCTGTTTATGCTACCAAGTTCATGAGGGGTGTCGATTACAGTAAGAAGTCCACCGTAAATACCAGTTCAAATATAAGAGGCTACAAGGCAAATGTAGGCGCATTGACGTCAATGGCCTAGGGCCTAATCGAATGGACAAGTTGCGCTAACACCGATCTCCGAAACGCGGATTCTTTCAATGCTTGAGGATATACTACTAATAAGCACTGAAACCAATTTCAGTAGCACTTCTATCGTGACTAATGAATTCAAGGAAAGAGAAGCTCATTGCAGCCGCTTTAACGGATACATGGGAGAGGTTGACTTCAAGGGCATTTACCAAATCGCAGATAAATGATCTAAACACAATAGTAGACTCAATGACATCGGTGTTCTATCTGAACAAGTGGCTATTTACCACAGAAAGTCGATTTCAACAGCACACCTATTCCAACCACCGACTTGTGAATATCACGATCTACGAGACCTACATAAATCAGCAAATTAATACTGCTACGCACCCAAAGGACTGCACATCGTGGGGGCAAAACCGGTTATTATGATCAAGAAAGAACTTGAACTAACCATCTGCATTACAATATACGCTGATCCAGGTGTTTACACAACTGAGGAATTCGGTCACCGGCATATAATTATTTACAGAATCAGGAATAACAGTACGAAATCCAATTTTGATTCAGGCTACATCAGTAACATAATTTGCGTGGAAAGTCTGCGTGGTGTGAACCAGTCTCAGTCAACTACTTCACGAATGCGGGCTGCAATAAATACACCGGCAGGACAAGGAGCTGGTTGGACAAATAGATGGACGGACACTTTTTGGCACGAGAATTGGACAACCAAGTGGCAGAAGGGAAATCACTTATCTTGCTAATTACCTTTTATTACCATCAATGTACACATAAAACTGTTTAAAAAATTAGAGCCCTTTCGGGAGAAGCAAGGGCTTAAAAAGCGATGATCGTACAGAGCTAGCGGAACGAAGAGATGCAACCATGCAAACGACAACGAATGAATAATCGCATGCGGCCTTGTGTCACCTGCAAAAAAAACACTGCTCCGACCGAAACTGTGAGTGAGAACGGTAGCTAACGCAATTGTTTCCTGTATTAATTATTTCACTGAACCACGCACCTAGCAGACTGCGACTAAAGGCACATTTTAAAATCTGTTAACAGCTTCGTGAGCTGCAGGCATCTTTACTACCGGTGAGCATGAATGAATCATCACGACCATTAAGATGGCAAATATTCGTCGTCAGGAGGAATCAAGACACGCGAAATCTGCTTGATTAGTTTCACCAGACTGTATCTTAAAATTGCTTGAAAAATTGCCTACTAAATGGTCACTGAGGCCTTTTAAACTGTCAGAAGTGATAGCAAAGTGTTTGCTACCGGGACCGGTATCCGATGCAAGTCGACAACTACAGCCACTGATATGTTGTACCGCTCCAATGTGCCATCAACACTTGCACTACCATACTGGTTATTCTCAGATCAAAAATAAAAAGGCATACATATAATTTACTTTCTTATAGTTTACTACTCTATTTGCGATGCACGATCCAAAAGAACCGGTAGATAAACTGGTGAGTAAATTGAGGAGGAAGTGGTAAGTATACATTTGACTGCAAGAGTTCTTCGACCTTCGCCAGTACTGACGCCATCTCAGTACCGTGAGACTCTGTCCATTACCTCAGCCTCCGAGCCCCTCTTTTATATTGGCATGCATTATTTCGTTCTCAAGTATGACTCGAAACGTTAAAAAAGTGTTATTCTGTGCCAAAGTGAAGAGGTAAAACTTGGAATGTGAGAACTGGCAAAAGGGTACAGAGAACAGAAAGTTGTTTTGGAATTTCTGGGAAAAAGCAAAGGAAAAAGTCTCACAGTACTGTTAATTATTCACCCGGGGTAGGTTCCATGCAGTACAGCTCGAAAAGTCGTAGAAAATGGTACAGGGTGGGAAAGATTCCTGTACTCATAGATTGGAAAAGCACAAAACTTTGTCGCTGCTACTGATATCAGGTGTAAACCAAATTCCGCATCAATTTCGGGAAAGACTAAAGTGGAATTACAAGTTTCCACTGATAACGTTTGTCCAAAAAAAGTAGGGTATGTTGACACTACGAGTGAAAGTTCACCACCAATCCTATAAAAAGTCTCCTTAGTAAGCTCTCAAATTTCTTTTCGAAAGCAAAAAAGGATTAGGGGACTTTTGCACCTGATTACTTCACTCCCGGAAACTTGATCGCAATGAGGAACACAAGCTGCTTGTTAAATAATAAAGGCAAAGCTAACAAACCTCAAAGCTATGGGTGAGGAGCTTTTATCTATATAAACAAAATTAGAAAATGCCAGTAAAAAGAAAGAGAACTAGGTCGGGAGATCATGTTCAATGCTCCACGTGTTCCACTGGTCTAATCAAAAGCTAAAAAGGCAGTCCTGAAACTAACACGATTTAATGGCAGTTCTGTAATAAGAAAGCTACAATGCTCTAGTGAGCTTAATGTTAGCCTTTCATCTAGTCTCATGAACACACCTTCACTCGCCTACTAAAAAGTAAAATGAGTAGGAGGAGGCTAACCATATAGTGACTGTAAAGCCCCGCTTATAATAGCAGCTATCTGTTCGACAGGGAAGGTTTACATTTGTCTACCTAATAAATGTTGAAACAGTTAGAAAATTAATAAGAATTGCACTCGAATTAAATGTTCCAAGTGGGAGGGGCATCAAAATCTGCACTTGCAAGAACCGTTGCCGTATACTCGAAATGAACCACTTTCGCATTAGATGTCTCGAGAAAAAAATTAAACTCTTTGTCTGCCTACCCCGTGTAGTTAAGTAAGAGGCAAACAAGATTGCAATAAAATGCCCCGAGTCCGAAGACTGATTCACCTTTTGTATTATCCTCCTACCTACTCATCAGAAAATTAAGTAGTAGCGGAACTCACCTGTAGAAGTTCATCGCCTGGTTTGAGGCAGTCTAGATTGGAGAAAAGGCCGCCGGGCAAAACGGTGTGGACAAAGTGTCGCGAAGACACTTCACTCGAAATCTCCGCTGGTGATTTAGCAGACGCTGCCGTCTCGAGTTCTCCACCATCCTCCGACTCCCGTTGTTGCGCCGGATGCGTAGCCGACGTTGGTGGATTCGCCTTTGCTGCGTCGAGGGTGGATCCGATTAGAGAGATGCCCAGTTGACGTAAGTTCTTTGGACGAACTACTCGGATTACCTGGAAGACAGTGAGTTAGAATGGAAGGTCAGATTGGTCCCGAGAGATTCATCAACTGCCATGCCGCTCGAGGTGAAGACGTTGGTTAAGAAGCAGCGTTTCTAGTCCTCCAGCAATTCGGATGCTACGCAAGGAGCATGGAGGTCTCTTCGCCTTCTATTCCCGCTTTACTGGTTCTCCGGCACATCCATACGTTCATAATAAGGCTGACCAATATGGAGAAGGTTTCAGTAAAGAAAGATTTATCAGGAAAGCTGAACCATGCGAGAAAAGCTTAACGCGCTGTTCAAAAGCGGGAAGCTTTCTAGGCGTCGGGCGTGTACATATTGCTGAACGATGAATGCATTCACCGTTTCAGTGATAATCGCCCACTCAAAAAGGGGTTTCCACACCCCACAAGCAGGGAGCAGAACCACCACAACCAAAATCGTCACTGATAGATACACGCAGGAGCGTCGTTGAAGGGTTTACACATTTTTAATGTCTTACCGCGGCTAGATATCCAATCACAGTATTGTGTTTGAAGTCTTTGGTTTTACGTCACCATTCACAGAAAGGTCCTTACATCACTGCATGCCATTTTATACACACACACACACACACACACAGTGCCACTGTTGCTTGACAGCTTGATGAACGGTCAGTTTGACTTGAGGCTGTCCTCGTATTGTTTGAGTTCAACTACTGACAACCTGGAATTCCGACTGCATGGTATTGATAAACGTTTGCGGACTCTCAGCTACCAGAACGTATTTGGAAGTGCTATACACAGGCTTTGCAGTTTCATTTTCACATCGTGTGGTTTCACATTTCCACAACTGAGAAACCACAAGGCTGAGGATAATGCACGGTGTGAAATGACTTTGTAGCTCGCGCATGCCGTTTGACAAGGAAGTTTGGATGAGTGAAATAATAAACAGAGCTGAGTGATAAATGTGGCCATTCAAAGTTGTCCTGGCCATATTTGGCTGCTAGAAAAGTGTATAGTGACCTCCCATTTGTAAATAAAATCACTTTAACAAACCAATCAAAATGTGTAAAGAGCAGGAGCCCAAGTAGGTACTAGATAACATTCTGTGGAAAAGCGGCTTAACTACGTTTGAAGTGTGCGACAATGCCTTGATCTAATGAAGGCGTCTCTCCGCAAAATATGCAAGCAAAAAATTTGCAGCATCACCAAAACTCCCTTCCTTTAAAATTGCTCAACCTCTTCAGTTTCTGGGGTCTTCCAGAGGATCCCTCTCTTAAAAACTGCAAACGCCCATCTTATAAAATTACTCTACGCAGATCAAGTTTCATTTGAGCAACTCGTCACCGCTTGCATCTTCCAGTCTAACGCATCAATCGTAGCCAGTCCATTCTCCAAAGGAGGGATCTGCTTCCAGGACTTTATAAGTAGCTTCTCCAAAGAGCACTTAATGAAGGGATGACTCAACTAAATCTGAACTTTCTGGTACGTGAAAAGTGGAGATGTCCTCGAAGTCATTCCTACTACTTCAACCTTTCAACTAGTTAACATTGACAATGAAGAGAACTTATTCGCTTACTCCTTCGTCTCAGTTTACCTTGGGGGGAGGGAGGGGCGGGGGTTTCGTTCACGTCATCTGGACCCCCGTTTGACCTTAACAGTTGAAGTCACTAATCCCAAACATCCCTCTATTCTGCCTCGCAATGAAAGCACGAAGTAAAAGGCGCTGACATTACCAATGACAGGAGGTGATACATGTTCTGCGGTTTACCTCCCTCCATTTACCTCAATCATTCAAATCAAACCATGAGCATAAGATCAGTGATGCAGAAGACACCACCCATTGTTTTGCCGCCTCAATTTGCATAGCAAGGCCTCCCCACGTGATTTTTAAGTTTACCATTGAAACTAGTACAGTGCTTGCGCACGACTTCTGAAGTTACCTACTGCAAATAGTCGCAGTTACTTCGCGTTATCATGAAGTATTCCAACCTCCCTCTGCAACAGTATTACCATTCACCAGATTTGCCCTGGAACATGTGTCCCGAAAAACCCATTATTCTGATTAATTATCTTTTACTCACCGAAGAGCGTTTCTTGGCAAAACGATTCGTGTTTCTCCCTAGCGTAATTAATATTCCGTCCAAATCCTTGCATACTTTTGCATCTCAGACCACAGTGTATTCATTCTGGAATCTCAAATCGCAGGTACTATCATGAAGCATACATTTGTTGCTGTATGGTTTCCAACAACGTTTGACCTCCGATTTGGAAATGGAAGACAATGTCTCCTAAGTGGGTAAACTTAGAAAGTCCTCAACAGGGCTATTAAAGCAAGAATCTCCACGACCAAAGAGCAGACATCCTTACTTCGAAAATCGTACAGCATTTAAATGCATCTAGTGAATTTCAAGATTATATATAACTGCAAATTTCATTAGTCACCAGCTTACCAAGATATCCTTTCCTAGTCCAACAATCGGCGTCCACACGTCCACCATCAACTTCACCAACTCCGGAGTTATACGTCCAGCTTGTTGACAAAAAAAGAGTAGAAAAGAGTGATTGATTTGTAAGCGTTACCGCGGTCACTACTAGATTCTCATGAGAAAACCGATTACCACAGCCGCCGGGGTTTTCATTATTCCAACGACAGTAACACTTGAAATATCAAATTAACCAACTAAATTACTGCCTAAAACTGGAAAAGTTGTTAACATCACATTAAAAACAAGATCCTACAACCATTTTGATGGCTTAAAATCTACCACCGTTTTGCAACGCAGGATTAAGCGTGACCGGTTATCCACAAACTGATAAAGAACACGTGTCCCATGTACGTAAAGTGAGGACTCGGGTAGAAACCAGAGCGCTGCATGTACGTGATACCGGTGATGAAATGGGATTCCAGAGCACTTGTCTGTGCCAAACACATCCCGATTTACACAACGAATATCTGGCTTCGTGGCCTTATACCGCGGTGAACTTGAAATGACCCTTTTGGATTAACAATTTATTGGTAATGATATGGCGTACATGGAAACAATCTCCCAGTGACCGCACTGATTCTCTTTTTCGTGTTATTTATGACCTATGGTCACCGATATTAACGACTCACACATTCGTATTTGAGATTTTCATGTGGTACTCGTGAAGCATCTAGTCACAGCTACTTATGAGCGATTTCAGTAAGTGCCACTGTAAATTGAGCACAAGCATTAATTTTATTCTGGATTAGCCTGAGCCCGCATGCAGATTTAAGTGCTGACAGCTTGCGCAACTTAGTTCGTTCCAGCGATTAGAGATGTAACAGACTGTTCATCGAATGCTGCATGCATAAACAAACGGCCGCTACATCGTTTGTGTGCAATTGACTGCGCTTGTAAACTTAAATCACAAAAAATGTTCTAGGTATGAAAATTCAGTGGTGAAAGAAGTAACAAAACCATTTAGAAAACTCTGACCCTGAAGTGATGATGAGTGTTTGGACCGAGTCGTCAAAAGCAAACAGACAAACAAACGAATGCAAGAGCGCAAGCTGGCACAAAGGTTAAGAGATGGCAGGCGTATCGGCCAATCATGTAAAAAAACCAACGACAGGTGACTTTGATGCGCAAACAGACTCTTCTCACCCACAGGGCAATTTTACTTAGCGTGGATACGGTCTACACTGCCTCACCCTAGACATGCTGTCAAGACACCCACCGTCAAGCTAAACTGAAAAAGGGCAAGTGAATGTCCAGTTTTGTGTGCAAATTCGAGTGGAATTCACTCGAAGTAATTACATCGATGTGGTGAGCCGCGCCATAAACACTAATTCCATTAGTCATAAAAGGCTTATGTCTCCCGAGTTATTAAATATATTCTGTCAGAATCGTGTTGGTCCTGTTTCCAACTTACAAACTAGCCCTTATGTTAAATTGTAAATAACAACAACATTGTGTCGAAAACAATTGGATGATTAGGATCCAGTAAAAGAATCAAGTAAGACCGTGGGCGTAGCGAAATAACTGACAACAAACAAAAATCTTGTGAACAGACTTTATCCACCTCATCAAGTTGATGATGGTATTATCATAACTTTAAGGTGGAACAATGGCCTAGATAGACGGTTGAGGAATAGCAAACAACGAAGCGTTCAAACTGAAGTCTCCTTACATCAGTTAATAAATTTAGGGTGTTTATGTACGGAAATCGTATGGAATTTCAAATGTTCCCAATAAAAAAATATATGTAACGAATCCCTAAATCACACATCCCTATTTCAATTCTCGCGACTAACAGATGGTATGTCTACGCTAGAGAAATCTGAGACGACTCCATGTTATGATGAATTTAGCATAGAATTAACAAGTACAGTGAGTTTCAAGCACACGGACGTTAAAAAAACAAATAAAAGTATATATTAAGCTAAAAATATTGGCGAAAAGGAGGAAGTTAAGAACTGGCGAAATAGTCACGTACCAAAATACAAAATTGATCGTTCACGATATCTGTTCTTGTTGCGAGAGTTCGCAAAGCTAATAATATTTGTAACGTAATGCTTCAGAGACTTTTTTGCCATCTTCTAACCAAATTTCTCGCTCCTGATCTGATGAATATGTCAGAATTAACCTGACCACAAAAATCAACCCTATATCACGGACGGGTCCCACTTGATTGGTCAACTGGCAAAACTTTAATGCGCGGGTCTTTTTTCACAGACTTAAACGAAAACTGCGCATACTATTTGAGAAGTTCCATAGTAGAACTTCTTGTATTAGACCAATACCAATGTTACGAAAAGTCCTACTATTAGTTGCTTAATAATGATTAACTGGTCTTTAAAACAAGCTCTGCCAAGAATCAGACCTAACTATCCTTAAGAACAACACCCAATAACCCCTGTTCAGAGATAAACTCCTCATGCAGAGCTCTATGATGGCCATATATTTTGCTTGGTTGTGTTTCTAACTAGGTGAGTACTCTGGCCTCTACCGGTTGTGCTGTCGCGCCGTGTCCCATAGCTGTGGCCATTCTGGTGTCCTTTAAGCCTAGCAAGTTTATGTTCTTTCAAACTCTTTTGGCTTATTACAACTTTGGCAAGGCCAAACTAGGAATATTTTGTTTGTTTAATAATCTACAATAGATGAAGTGGTATTCGTACACTCAAAAATTGTAATCACATTCGGTAATTTAAGCATATTAAAGCGTTCTAAATAAATCATACATCACGGCACAACTTTTATGGGTATGGTAGAAGCACAACCACACATAATGAAAATGAAAGATTATTCTAGTAATTCCTATAATAAAAGTCTAGTTCCTCTAATTATTGCGCTTAGGTAGAAGCAATTTTCAGCTCCATTCCCTTTATAGTGGGGGTGATTTAATTAAATGTATTAAAGCTGACGCAAGCAGTATTCATTTAGTCTTCTTCTATTTACGATGCTACGAACATGCTGGAATCGCTTAGTTTCTAGTTTTGCCAAGGGGCTACTTGAGGCCCTTGCCATCGTACCCCTGCCGGGCGGTCCGGCCTCTGGGTCATGGCGGTAGCTCTCTAGTCCTTCAGCATATCGACTATACACTTTCTGTCCAAGCGCTGTCTCACACTCGGCTTCATTTAAACGTTCTACTTTAAATGAAACCACAAAATTATTTGGGTTACCTTTGAATGCGATAAACACGAACTTAAAATAAGAAGAGTCTTAATTTTCGGCTCAAAAGTGATTTTACGACCCAGAAATTTTTAAATCCAAGTGATGGTCCCATGTCATATCAGCTCCGTTTGACAGCCAAGGTGATTAGAAGCATGCTTTAAAAAATTATTGCACGCGGTGGAACTTACCGTAGTGCACCGCGGCCCTTAGCTGATTTAACTCAAACCGTCCAATCGCCATGCTTGGCCTCGTACGCACAGGCGATTCCGTACTACTAGACAACTCAATCTCATCCATCTCATCTAGAGGTGAACTGTACAGCGTCATGGAGGCGGCTGCAGATGAAGTCGTCTGCTCCTCCTGCAAGCCTGAAGGCGTCGGCGTTTGTTGTAATTCTTCAATATTCCCATTGATTGATACGGAAGAGGAAGAGGTAGATACTGTCGATGTTGCTTCCATCAGACTGGCTGCAGATAGCATTGGAAGGCTCTGGCAGGTCGATGGACCAAGGAGGTCTCGTATAAAGTCGCTGGAATCCTCGGAATCCTCTGAGTTTACCTGTGGCGTTACAAGAAGCTCACTCTGTACTGGACAGGCTCTGAGGGGTTTGAGAGTTTTGCGTGGAATACAAAGTGCTCCGTGGGACTTTGATCCTGTCGTAGTGTATTTTCGACGTGATCGATGCCGTTGAGGTCGTCTACGGAAGCCACCTGGAAGAGTTGCCGATGTCTGCCGAGTTCGTGAGCGTAGTGTGGAGGAAGAAACTGTGAGCAAAGTAGGAATGAGAGGGTGTACCACCTTAACGCGAAACTCAGACGTTACACGGGTAAAGAGTTAACCGCTTCCCATCGAAATGCCTACCCAATTGCTTGAGCTGTTCACAGACGCGACCAGAAGTGTGTCGGAGGAAGGTCAGGTGCACGACCGGACCAGCTGTCTTGAGCAAATGTGCCGCAGCTTTGTTGGAGAGCGTCTTCAGATCAATCCCATTCACCTTGATGGAATGGTGAAAGGCAAGATTAGTGTCGGACGCATCTACCGAATAGCCCTTATTTAAGACAATAAAATGACATCAAAGGTTCTTGTGTGTATGTATATCTCTATTCTAGACGGATTAACAAGAAGTAAACATGAATCAGCATTCAATATCCTCGAGATATCCGAAATGCACTGCGCGGTTATGGCCGATCTTGACATACCTTGATAATCTGGTCGTGTTGTTTGATTTTACCCGAAATGCTAGCCAATCCATTAGGTAGGACATCCTTCACGTAGATTCCGGTTACAGCTACAAAAAAGAGGCGCAAATTTGCATGACTCGAGGCGAAACAAACCACAAGCACCAGTGTTAGAGCATCAAGCACCTCTATCCTTATCTTTCTCCGACACATATCCCACGATAGTGAGCCCCAGGCTACAATTCTGGGCTCCAGACGGTTTTCTTAATAGCACGGAAAACTCTACGCTGTCCTCTGTTGACTCCCCTCCTCTAACAGCATCCTCCACCTGCAGCACTGGAGAAAGTATTGACGTCTCCGCGCGCTTCTCCTCATTTGAAGGTGGCATCGTCTCCAGAGGAACTTCAGGAGGCGTCTTCGGGGTTGTTGGTGTGAGTGAAGGCAGTGGAAGCATGAGATCGGCTAGGCAGTCCACCGATTCATCTAATGTCTCCGTTGGCACAATGCTTAGGCAAAATAATGACTATCAGTCAACATCAGTGGTAAAAGTTTAACCACAATAGATAGAGAGTTGGAAAGTTGGATTTCGTGAGTATATTCATTAAATCCCATTTCTTATCCTCATTACAGGCAAAATGCCTAATGTGTGGACAAGAACCAACCAGAGGGGACCGAGGGGTTGTCGGGCCTTAACTTGTCGACTTTGCTCCTCGAAGACGGCAGCCAAGGTGGTAGGACTGCCTTGAGCGGGTCGGGCAACCAAAAGGCTGACTGGAAGCGCGCTTGATATGTTAGTGTTGGCGGTGTTGGTGGTGGCAGTGGAGGTGGAACTAGTGCTCGATGTGGTGTCTGCAGAGGCACCGCTAAGTGTGTAATTGGAGACAACGGACTGTCGAATGAGGCGAGCTACCTGATCGGGACTCAAACCGCGGGTGGAAACCTCCCCGACCCGCAAAATTACATCACCTGGTCGAAGATTTCCCGTCTGAAGCACAAACACACAACAACTATTTCGGTTTTTCAATCAGCGTCTATGTTCAGAGGCCTGCAGCCCTTTTTGTGCTAGCAATGGTCACCCTCTTTGCGTACCGCTGTGGCCCCCAAGCACTTTAAAGAAGACTCCGAGTTTTGCGGGGGATGCTACTGAATAACTTTTAAGTAGTTTACAAAAGTGAGTTGACCATTAAGTGATTTGTGGAAAAAGAAGAGGAGATATACCTACCGGATCGGCGCTCCCCCTGGGCACAATATTTCTCACGAGAACTCCTGTGGTTTTGTTCCCAAGGAGACCAAACCCTAGGCCGCTGTTGAAGTCGTTTTGAAGACAGATCAATTCTATTTCTGACCATTCAGAGTTGAGCTAGAAACAAGGTTTTGGGACCAATTTTTAATATTACAATTCTTAATCGGAATCATGCTTTAAAAGAATGTCGTTTATGAACCAATGTATGTGGGTGAGTTACAACCGAAGTATATCGCAAATCTTCCCCCTGACCATTATTTGCAATGATATGACAAACTCGTAAATATTTGACCCATTTACGGCCTAATGACCCTGATTATATTTTGTCCTTCAAGGCCGAACGCGGGAACTCCGCATTTTGATTTTTTAATTGCATTTTGACTAAAGTTATGGGCTGTAGAAATTTAAACACTTATGTCCAGTCCTCACATAAGTATAGAAATGACCAAATGGAAAAGTTTCAATTTTCACCTAAAGAAGAATTTGGCCTTTTATGCTTTAAAATCCACCTCCCCTCTGATTAACATTTCACTCTTAATAACAAACTATGATATATTGTGTGAGATAAAACAATGAAAGTTGGAGATATCATTTGACGTTCTTGAGAGAATCATGCCAAAGTCAATAAGAAACTTTTTAAAGAAAACTAAATTGAGAAAGGTTGTAAACTCACCATTACAGAATTGGTTTTGAGGTGGAAGCCATGCACAACCCACTGGATTTAAATAAAAATACAATTCTTTTATCAAAAGACGCTGAACTTTGGTTGTTATTTTAAAATGAAAAAAAAAGGTGGAAAATATATATGTGGTGTAGGTGAGAGCCCAGTCACTAACCGGCCAGCATTGAGGGCGAAATTGTTTAGAACCGCCGAGGAAATGCGCTGCTGGCCAGAAATCACTTCAGCCAATCAAAATTGCGCTTCCTGTTTCCCCAACTCAGCCGACCAATCACCCCACGCTCGCAGATCAGGCCCTCATTGGTCCACAGGCGAATCGAAGAGGGTCTACTGGCCTGGGCGGAGTTTTAAACCTGCTCGTGTTTCGTCGACGAACAAGTAACGATTGTTCAGTGCTTCTTCCCCACGTTTGTAAAATGTAAATTTCCATGCTCAAAATGATTTCACATCGATGGGAGTCATTGGTGGATCTGTCATTTTTTCCCCTCAAAAATAGCATTTCACTTGCAAATGGCAATGAGGAGTTGATATACTATAAGTTATAAGAGGAGTCCAAAGAGTAAAAAGAGTGGCCCTGCAAATCCTTGTTCGAGAGCGTCTAAAAATTAAATACAGTTCTGAAAAATGTAAAAAGTCGTGAATTTTTGGGTGGGAATTTCGATCACTTAATATGACATTTGTTTCCGTGCTTTGAGGACACAGTTTGCATCGAGTTCACATGAAGCTCCGGTTTCCTTACCTGGACTCATGTGTCACTAATACGTGATACGTACTCCTTGTCAGTTTGTGCTTAACCGGTCGCACCAAATCGTGTGTCGCTAAATGGTGGTCGCTTAGCTCTCAGTTTCAGTAAAGGGTTCCCTTAGGTCCTCCGCCATTGTATCTTCATCGGGTGGGTTGGTCTGCCAGCCATGCTATTATCCTCAAGTCCTTTTGTATAGCGGCAATGCACATTCTGTTCGAGCATGATGTCTTCTTTCGCTTAAAAAAAAGTCTCGAGGCGGTGCATTGACAGCAGCAGAAATCGAACCCGATCTTAATGGACATTTATCCTGATTTCTGTCCCAAAGTGATAAATCGTAGCGTAGTGACTGAAGTGCATTTGTGGAGGATGGGAAAATCGGTGACCACCCTTAACAGAAGGGCTGCAAATGACGTCCACCTTCGGCAACTACCCCAGTCTCGTAGTCTGCAAGCTAGTAACGAATCAAGCGACAATACCCGTGGTAGTGAATCTCCCGAAATTTTCATTACGGAGCTGTCTGCCATGCCTGTATGAAGGTGTTAGTTACGTGAACCCGCGATACCTCCTCCACCCCCCTCCCCTAGCTGGGTAAAACCCAAATAAATATGGCCTGGCAGCGAGGACGGTGGTATACGCAAAACCCTGATCCCAGAAAAGCGTGTTCAATCCCTTCATTTGTTGCATGACTCTGTACCAAGGCGACGGACACGCGTGATGGCCAGCACATTCCCTGCCTCCAAATCCATTTTCCACGCAGGACAAAACTCCCTATCCAGTAGAATTTCCAAAAAGGGAATTTGATGACACCCAAGGTTATCTTGCAGGTTTTTTTCTTACAGCGCCAATTACGTTGTGATGACTGACTTGGGGGGTTGACCAATCGGAGCGTCAAGGCCGCCACTCAAAAAAAAGGAGAGGGACAATGGCATACGTTAACTGTTTGTTTAACTCTCGGTTTTAGTGACAGGTCACCTAGGGCTTTGCCACTGTACCTTAGCTAAATGAGCTGACCTCCGCGTCATGCCAGTGGCCCAAACTGGAGTATTTCATCTACTTTTGCCTTCAGGTAAGTCTCAGGGCGCTACAGTAGATGTAAACTGATCTCGCTATAAGGATGTTGATCCTTTTTCCCATTTTCTGAATAGCGATCGAACGAACTAATTCGGTATTCCAAGTTTTGCGTTGGTTGATTTTATCCGAGAGAGGCCCCAGCATATTTGGGTGATAGGATTTTTCGTATAGAATAAGAACTACCAGCTACTTTCTTACTGCTAATCAAAGCTGTCAGACGGATTAATAATGCAAGCAAGGACAAGTGATTGCCAGTTGACAAATCCATTGTTCTGGTGGTAAGTAGGGGCGGGTTATCATCAGATTGCAGACAACAATAATAGACGGTACCCATTGTCTATCCTTTTTTGCAATAAAAGCTGTCTCTTCTGGATTAAGGTGTAGCCTTTCATTCTCCCCTGCTCCTACCTTATACCTACGACCTAGTTTGACATCACTTGTGAAATGGCCAAGCAGCGGTGGAATGCAGCACCCACATTTCTACAAGTAGGCGTCCATTTCTGCGTAGTCGCCTTACTAAGTCCCACTGCTTGACAAATTCACCACCTTTTTGCGTCCTGGAAGATAATCAGTGACTGTAATGCTTTATTTCTCGTTGGGTCTTCTTCCATGTAGCAATAGTACATCAGTGTATCACCTTTAGGGTTGCTTTTAATGTAAAAATGACAGATAATAGATAAAGATAAAGTAGCTTAGGAAGTTAATTCGGCCGCAGAAATACTACAATAGTAAAGTGATTCCACCCAATAAAAGGAGGCAAGGTTGCGGCAAAATGAAGAACCGATCGTGAAAGGGACAATGACTTGGCGATATTACTTTTTAATGAAAGATTATAATCCAAAAAATTATTCATGTGCTATAAAAATGAAATGAAAAGCGATCAAGCTTAACAAGATAAAGATATTGAAGCATGAAATAGAAGCATCAAAGATCAAGTAAATCTGCTAATAACACGCCATAAAAAAATTTAAAAATGGCAAATTTCTCGAAGATTTAAATGGATCGGTGAAGACAAGCTGGATGGATGGATAGAGGATGGATGGATACAGGATGG